ACAGCCAAGCCAAGGGCAGGAATCTGGGCTATGTATCGTGCTGATGGTCCCAATGATACATTCTGAAACTTTTTTCAAGCACAACGATCTGCACTGCAAGTCCAGCTACAATATAAAAACATTCTATTATGTCTGAATTTTGGGTGGTGATGTGCGGAGCCAAGAGTTGGACTCAGTGATCCTCAGAAGTCCCTTCCAACTTGGAATAATGTATGACCCTGTAAGTACCTCACCTTCCATATGATGTCTGTCATATGACAAGAAATCTACTTTATTGCCATTATACATGAGGTTCCTACATATGAAAGTTACAAAGAAATTTGAGGAGCCTTGTGTTGTACTATCTACACGAACATTAAGGAATGCCACAGCACTTTCTGTTGGTACCCCTATGGCACATGCAAATTTCTTCCACTGGCACCTTCCACATGCCATCCCTCCTTGCTGCCACCTTGCCCACCAGTGCCAGCCCACAAGCCAGGGGTTGACATGTGCTCTGCCACTGGGGTGCAAAATGACTGCTTAACATAAGTCTGGATGTGATGCTACCTGAGAACTCGCCTGTTGTTGGAGTTGTCCATCCTGAGCTGGAAGAGAAGGGACTCGTGAGCAACACATTGCCCTGCGAGCTCTTCATCGTGCTTGTACTTCTCAGTCAGATCTATCAAGTCTAGGGTCACTGGCAGAGATGTACAAAGCTTACCTCCCTTGCCAGATTTGGCACCCTATGTTTACGTTCCAGAAATGAGCATTTTGTGACCCATCAACCAGATCTCTTAGCTCTTTCACTGATATTTCCTGGGAAACTTTAGAGGCTACAACCAAATAGGCCTCGTGATGCCTTTTCTGTAGCCAGAAAGCTATACCAAAAGCTCTACCAAAATCCCCTGGGCACTGCCTGTGAGTGAGATCCAACCTCCTCACCAATCAGCACCAGCAGCACACACAGCACAGCTACACTCCTGCCTGAAGTGGCTTTTTTTTGTTGTGTATGGGCACAGAAACCACCAGAAAGTACACCAACACCTTTCAGATCCTGGTGCTGAGCAAGAGCTATCACATCTCCAGAAGCCCCTTTTGTTATGCCCGTTGTGTCCTGAAATCTTTTAGCAGAAGTCTGAAATGCTCTCTTTCTGTTCTGCTAATTGACATGAAACTCTCACAAGGTAGATGCATAGATCTGAGGATTTTTCTTAATATTGGACTGTACATTTCAGGCATCCAAAGAGGTCCTCAGAAGAAAGGACAAACAGCTGGCAGACTGACAAGTTCTTGGGACTTACCTGTTCTCTATGAACATTTAAACTTTTCCTTGGCTTGCCTGAATCCTATACATCAGTGCTTGCCAGTTTCTTTACTTTAGCTGATAGCATGCTGCCTGACCCTTTGTACTTTCTGAATTTTACCTTTGGTTAATTCGCCTGGACCACTTCTGAAGAATTCCAGACATCTGGTCTCAGCCAAAGAGCTATTTTTAAGGTGATCGCTCACAATCTGTGGACTGACCAGCATAATTTGCACACATTATGCCAGGAAATAGCACAAACAGCACAGATAACCATCCACAAAGCCTAGAGATCTGTCACATGAGTGGGTTTCAGTGTCTGGTGCCTCTCTTCTGCATTCCCACTGCAATCCAACACAAGCAATCTAAAGCACAGCCAAGTTTTCCATACCCCATTACCACTTTCCAACAAGCTGTAGCCCTTCAGAACTGCTTGCTTATTTGGATTGTGCAACACAAAGTGCTAGCCAGTGTTGTCTGTGATTTTGAATGACTCTACAAGTGGGTAGCATACACAGAAATGCAGAGAAACCAGACCGAAGCAAGTAGCCGATATGTGACCAACAACGAAAGATGTGCAAAGACAGCAGCAGCCCATGCTCCTTCCTGTGCTGTCATGTTAGAGCAGGCACATCATTTCACCTCTCACCCCAGCCCAGGATGCTGTGTACATAAAAGCAGGTTCTTGGAAAGAGTAAAAAGCACAGAAAGATAACAAGAGCCCCCTCAAGCTCTTTTCCACATACACATCGCAACTATTCACAGCTCAGAAGTTTACAAAGCTGGGGGCTGCAGCTTTCTATTCCACACTGCCAACATCCTGTGATTTTCTGCCATGAATTTACCCATTTGCTTTTGATGCAAATTTTCTGATATGTAGGAGACTGTGTATCAGAGATTACTGTACAGCTGATCCCAGCACTATGTGAAAAAAACACGGACTCTTATACTTGCTTTCAGACTTTCACTTCCCACCTCCACTGGACTGTTGCAGTTCTGTTTTTGGAGGACAGCGAGTAGTCTTTTCCCCATTCACTGCCTTCACTTCAGCCACGAGTTTAAGTGCTTTGTCCTCTCTACTGTTCCTTCCCCAAACTGTCAAGCGCGAAGAAAAAAAGCCCAGCAAATGAAGGAATCACAGCAGTAACGCTGCCGGATGGAACAATTTAGGAGGTGTGCAGCAGAGCAGGTGTGACGCATCGAGCTGCTTAACCCCAAAGTCGCGATACGCAGAGCCTCAAGGGGATGTCCCTTGCGAGTGTCCCTTCGGAGCCCTCTTCGAGCATCGAGAAATCTAAGCCCTCGAAAAGAAAAGTTGTCTCCGTCTCTTCTCAAAGAGAAAAATCAGCAACAAGAAAACTGCAAACCCGTTCCTTTCTGACAGATCCTCGCTGTTCTGTTACTTCTGTTTCCCTACAAGTAACGAGAACCGCGCTAAAGGAAACGAAGTGAGCGCACTTGGCCGATTAAGAGCGGCACGGACACGCGCTTATAGCCATTTACGGAGCGGTGGCACAACAGCGGAGACTTCAGCCAGCACCGCCACAGATTCGCTCCCCGCTACAGACCTGCCTGAAGCTGTCACCGCTCTGCTCGGGCGCAGCTCGCGCGGCTCAGGGCTGCGCTCGGCTCCTGGCGTACACCTGCCCTTCGTCTGCCTTCAGAGCCTCCACTTCTACCCCGCCGTTAACTTTTCGGGCACACGGAGCGATCTTACCGGAGCTCCTCAGCACGCCTGCTGGCAGCACCGCACCGCACCGACCTCCCTTCGCCGCGCTCTGCCCCGCGCGCCCACGCCGTGCCGCGCCCCTTCCTCCTCCTCCTCCTCCTCCTCCTTTCCTCCTCCTCTTTCTCCTCCTCCCGCCTCTTCCCCAAACTCCACGGCCGCCGCCGTGCTCCGCTCCTCTCCGCTCTGCTTTCCATGGAAAGTTGGGGCCGGGCCGTGGCCGCCCGCAGAGCCCTCGCCGCGGCACCTCAGGGTGCGTGGGATTGTGTGAGTGTGCATGTGGGCGAGAGCCCGCTGCCCTCTGCGAACGCTCTCTGTTGGGCAAACTGCGGAATAAGCCACCCCGACAGCAGGACATCGCGGTCCTGCAGATGCCTGCAGGCACGGCCCTGCGCCGTGCTGCCGAACGGATCTGCCAGCTTTGCTCCCGGTGGGGCCGCAGCTCCGGACCTGCGCTCAGTACACCCGCGGGCGGCTGGGACCGCTGGACGCGCCGCAACTGAATTGCGCGTAACCGTGTGTCTGAGCACCTTCCACGGTAACAAGCAGAATCCGGACGCGTCTGTCGGACGATTCAAATGCCGATGATGATGCTGCAACGATACCAGCAGGAAAACTTTCTTTCAGAGCAAAGACTGCGTCTTAGAAAAAATATATATACATATAAACGGGGGGAGAATGACTGCGAGGGTGGATAGTGCTAGGACAAGGGGGAATGGTTTTAAGCTGAGACAGGGCAGGTTTCGGTTAGATATTAAAAGGAAGCTTTTCACACAGAGGGTGGTGATGCACAGGTTGCCCAAGGAGGCTGTGGATGCCCCCTCCCTGGAGGCATTCAAGGCCAGGCTGGATGTGGCTCTGGGCAGCCTGGTCTGGTGGTTGGCGACCCTGCACACAGCAGGGGAGTTGAAACTCGATGATCATTGAGGTCCTTTTCAACCCAGGCCATTCTGTGATTCTATGATACATCTATACACAAATTGAAGGCCCTTTGAAACTTCATCTCCAAACTGTTACACTCTCTTGCTGCATCACAGTTAAGCTTCTTATTCTTTTCTTGATATGGCCAAAAACATAAATTCCAGATCACCTGTATGATAATTTCTGACCGAATTGGTCATTTCACTGCTGATGAACAGAAAAAGTGCCTAAATCTCACATATGAAGTTGCTGGAATAAAAGAAGTCTTTGCCGCTGTGCCATAATCACAAAACACTCACAAACTCCAGCTGCTCCAAGAAATCACTCAAATTCCTATGGCAAGAGTATTTTGGTCTATGTTTTGCCTGCAGCGCCACCCCTCCAGCATATTTTGCAGACACACCACTAAGTATTTGCACCATACAGGACCCGTAATCACTTTCCACAGTCAGCCTTCATTCTTGCATTTCTTTCACCTTACGTGTCCTTACTGGTTACAGTTCAGCTTTGCCTGGAAAGAAGGAGCATTGTGCTGATCCTCCACCAAGTACACTTCTATCCACATCTTTGTTTCCTGCCTCATTTCCCCTTGCCTCTTTAGCTTTTGCCGTGTTATAACCTACAGCCTATGCTACACAGGAGACTGGATTTTCACATTGGTCTCTTCAGGCCTTGACATCGACAAATCCCAGCTGTATTGTTTGCCTCCCAGGTGCTTATCTCCTCCTCACTCTTATGCTTTTGTTTTACACCTTCTATTCTTCTTTTACCTACTGATATTAATCTTACCACTGATTCTGTTTTACTCCATCTTGGCAAAACGTGAGTAAATTGGTGGGAATACAAATCTGAAGTTGTGGCTTTTGTTCACTACATCATCTCTTCCTTTTCTTCTTCTAACAGCAGACAAAACCAAGGGTTTTGTATTTTTTCATATTTCTTGTCCTCTGTTCTGCACTGCACAAAATATGCACTAATTCACAGCCCAACAGTAGAGAAGTGGTTTACCAAGAACTGAATCACAGAAGAAGCAGGAAGGGACATGTGGACCAACCACTGTTTGCCGCTTGTGAGCAGATGCACTTTTATTTAGCCGCAGTCAGGATCACAAATAGCTGCCCATCTTTGACCTGTAGTAAAAGCTTGTGTTTTTATGCAATTGTACACTTAGGAAAAAAAGATTAATTAAGAAAACATCCTGTTCAAAGTGGTATGACTTTCGTCATCTCTGAGTGGATCATGAAGAAAAAGATTCCAGTATGCAGAATATGAAAAATTCATGATTGTAAGACTTAGGAAGCAGAACTCTACATTTGTTACTCATATTAAAACAGATTATGTTGTCAAACTAAGATGCTTATATACAGCATAAATATTGAAAAGTGTGGTAACTTTTACATAAGATGTCAATGAGAGCTATTTCCATGTAACTGCATTTTCACTCTTAGCCCAACTGGAATCAATCAGGCTTCTGTTACTGTATCTTTGTTGCCTTAGGGCATGGAGTCAAGTTGGTGTTACAGGATAGAAGTATTTGTCAGCTCCTCCCAGTTTTTCACTATAATTTTATTAAACAATTTATAACAGAGAAGATGTCAAACAACATGTTAGTGGCTTTAACAGTAACTTTTACAGTCAAAAATCTTTCACTTTTGATGAAAAACTACTTCTCTTCTCCAAGGGTGCTCCAAGCAGCAGTATCTGACTGAACAGCTCCCTTAGACCAATATTCCTTCAGGTCTGTTTTGCTGCAGCAGCTGTGGGAATGTTCTGTTTACTTCCTACTTGCAAACTGACCTTTACTAAATACCCATCACTCAGTAGCCTTTAACTTTCTCTGGCTTCAATGCACTTGGTTTTTGTTTTGGTTTTGGTTTTGTTTTTTCCTTTTAATCCTTACAGCCTAACAGGCAATGATTGCTCATGCATCTGCAGGCACAGTATTAACTCTCTAACCATCAAAAGCCTCACTCTCCCCTAAACCTCCTCCTGTTTAAGACACTAATCAAATCCCTGCAGAACAGCTCTTCGCATTCCGAATAGCAAGCTGAGTATGTCATGTATTGACAGGAGGTATTTCTCAGCCCATTCACTTGAGTTAGGAGTAGTAGGTGTTATTATCTCAAGCCTTCTTACAACTCAGGGAATGAAAGAGCTACAACACCACTTGCATATGGATAATTCTCCTAACAGTCAAATGTTTTATAAACGTGCTACTGAGGCAGATTCATACTGTGCAAAATCAAAACAAACAGAAATACTCCATTGATCAGGCTGAAAATCCTGGATGTTACTAGACTGAAAAACTCATTTACCAGAATCGGTCTCACTGTACTTCCAGGCTTGTGCTGGCACATTTTTTTGACTGTCAAATGGATTTGGTTGAATCAACAAGTGAATTTCTATGAGCATTTTCAAAGGCTAAGAGCCCTCTTATAACTTCTTCCAGCATACATCCCATTCTCAGTTGTTTGTATATAACTAAGCCTCACAAAGCAAAGTTGCTGGTGATCGTTCAAAGCCGCCCATCTTGATTTTTGCTTAATAGCTTATGCTTTACACAAACTCTTGCAGCCAATTCTGACAGCACATGCTTGGGCAGACTGGTTCAAAACTGAGATGTGGCAAGTGGCTGTGGATTTGATATCTGACTGGCACTGTCCAGCATGGGAGGATAAAAAGCCACAGAAATCACTGGAGTTTCATACAAAGCTGGTAACATAGAATACAATTTGTGGACCGGTGTATAACAACTCCTGTCCACTTCAGAACATTAAGGCACAAAATTAAATCATGAGTTATCCTCACCTGCTACAAAGTACTCTGCAGTTAAACCAAACAATCTTTCAGCCCATTACAAGCACAGGGTATTTATCAAAGTATTTATCACAGTATTTATCAGAACAGCAGTAACAAAGCACTTAGAAGCAAACATTTGTACATTTAGAACTAAATGATGATGGAAGAAAAAAGTGTTAGCACTTAAGAAGACTTCAGAATCCAAAATCTTCACATGCCCTGTAGAAATTCCAGTGCTTTTCCATTACAGGCCATGGTAGAAACTCCTCTGTACATATGATGAGTAACTCAGTGAACTGAAGGAAACATGTTGTACTTTCTACTGAGTTGAACTGGACAGAGAAACCTGTTGAAAAAGAATGTGGATGATTATACAGTGCATACTGACACAAGTGAAAACATCCACTGGCTATTCACTGGTATTATCTACACAGGTGTCAGTATCTTGTTGGAACTATGAAGGCACAACAGACTCCAGTGCCCTAGATGCTTATATGCTAAGATCTCAGCTACCTTATTTGTGATGCCGGCACAGTATTTGCACCAAGATTTCAGTGATGCAAGACCAGCCAGTGCTATGTGCTTCGGGGCTCAGTGTGAGAATCCAACCCTGAGCAGTCATTTCCAATGATACAATAGCTCTCACTGAGAACTGGTATGGAAAACACAGTTGTTCTTCAGCATTACTTGAATGTCATGTATTCTGAGCATAAACAGACGAGTTCAGTATACCTCCCCAAAATTACAGAATCTCTCTTACCATACCCTTCCTGTAGTCTGGAACAGATTATATAAAAATAAAGCTGTATTTAAAAAAAAAGAAAAAAAGCAGCACTGAACAAGAGTTCATTTGCAGTAGTTAAATATCTGCCAGACTGAAGCAACTATTGCAGTGCATGAACTTAAGGCATGTATGTCACTGACTGAGCATCTGAACCTGTAATTTTCACTGATAAAATCAGTAACTAAGCAGCAGAATAAATATCCTGCACCAGTAAACATTACAATTACTTTTCCTGTAGGAGCACACATCAGACTGGCTTTTGCGGCTGTTGCTTTTGAAGCTACCTGACTTTGTTCATCTCCCATCCACAATTTTCCATTCAGTACCAGAAATGGCACATGCATTAGACGTTAGTAAGAGAAGGATTTTCATGAGAGTGGTGATGGCCTCTATTTAAATAGTGCTCAGACAGTATTCGATATTTCAAGAAGATAGGTATTCCAAGATGATTAGATCAGCCAAAATAAATATCTCTTAAAATGCAGAGAGCACTTATCTCAAGCAACAGCAGTTGGTTGTTTACCTTACACTTATTCCTGGGCTATGTTATGCCATACCAAAATTTACCTTTCTCTGTTACCACGGTTTTCCAGCTGTGCCACTTACATCAGTCACCAAATGCATGATATATTCACCGAGCTGACAACATTAGTAGGTCCTACTGGTGAAAAATCAATGTATCTTGTAAGTATTAGACATTTCAACTCTCTTTCTCCCACTCAGTGAGGATTTGTCTGCAATGTCCTGATTTCAGGGAGCTCACCAAGCAAAGCAGAGAAATAGCACATTACTATTAAAAGTAAGAGCTCTAAGTTCAGAATTGCAAATAAACCATCTTGCTCTTGACGACATGTGTTGTTCCACTCCTATGACATTCACAGTTACACTCCTGACTTCAGTGAGAACAGGACATCATTCCATGTTTTACATTCTCAGTATTTCGTCTGCATACTAGAGCCAGCATAACACAATAGAAAATGGAACAAAAAAAGCACAACAGAGCCTTCCAACATATGACAGCAACAGAGATGTCCAACGTATATTTAAGTATCCTAGACTACAGCAAGTGAAGACATGCAGGCTGAATACATGACATCTCTGAGAGGTTGCATTACAATGTTCCATGCACAAACCCATTATCTCTTATGAAAGACTAGTCAGTTACACCAGAAGAGGCCTCTTACATACTTAACTGGAAACAGTATTTCAAAGAGTATAAATAGCAATACTTGAATGGGAAGTCACAATACAGTTCTAAGGGTAACGCTCTCAGGAAAAAAAAAATCTTAAAAGCAAGCCTGGGAATATTTTGATAAAATAAACTGGCAGAAACTGAGCTCAAAAAATAGCAGTACTAGAATGACATGACAGGCATGACTTTAACCTGTTTTGCTTTGTGGAAAAGAAACCTTTTCATCCTGAAATGCCCACAGATTGCAGGCTAACTACAGAAAAATTCTTAGCAATGTCTGAAGTTATTTTAAAATCCTTTTTTGAGAGAACGTAATTGGAGAAGAGACATTCATTTTTTACTCTTGGAAACAGTCCTTCTAGTGCTCTTGCTGCAACATTCTATGTCACAAAAAAAAAAAAAAAAAAAAAAAAAAAAAATTCTAAAATAGTATCTGAAAGTGTCAAAGTTATGACCATGTGAATCTATTGATTTGTTGGTTTGTTTGCTTTTTTTTTCCCTTGCAGTTGATGGTTTTCTTTGCAGATTCCTTTGGGTAAAACTATGTCTTCTCCATTGGATTAAGATTTTGTAGATGAAATACAAGTATTATATTACAAGTACAACTTACTGGAGTGCATAATTAAAACCTGAAAAACTCCTGAATCTCTAATTTTCATTAATTTTAGGTAACGCTCAATTGCAAAATCACAGTAACATATACACCTCAATCTTGTTCTCCTTGGTACTGACTTTGGTCTTCAGTAACAGAGTTCTCATATCCACATACAATATCTTTTTCTCCAGTAGGAATTGATCAGTTTTTTTAATGTTTATTCCTTGTGTTCCTTAATCCATATTCTGAAACAGGCAACTAACATTCTTCCTGTTCCCATTTTTCTTTCTCAATTCTTCTTCCCTTTTCTCTCTTTGCTTATAATTAAACATTTTAATATACACTTTGAAGTTTCCATTCTCCCTTTTTTTGTTAACTCCCTTCCCCTTTTGAAAGTTGTCTTTGTAAGTGACTGGCAGCTTAGATGCTTTTAGTAGTACAGGAGTACTTCCATATTGCTATCCAAAAGTCATCATCTGTATACCTTAGGTGCAGAAAAAAAAATCTAGGTGAATGATTTGCACGTAGGGAGGATCTTCTTTGTTTTACTATCTTTGTTGTCTTGTCAGGTGCTCTTGGTTTTCTTCCATCTTTGTAAGCTGGAAGATAAAATGTCAGTCAGAATCAACATCAGAATGAGCCTTTTCTCTCTCTCTGTAAGCCTACGTGCTCTTTCCATCCTGCTTGCCAATGGCTTTTACATCTGTGTTGGCATCCATTTCAGCCTTATAGCTTTGAAACTATTCTGAAACGGTTTGAACTTTTATCTTCGTTTTCTTACAGCTTTACAAGACATTGCTTCTGTGGTAAGTAAGAACCTGGAAATGCTATTTAAGGAAAATTCCCATTAGTGCTGTGAAATCATAAATGTCAGGCCAGAATTTCCAGCTGCATAAAGGTTAGTCACAAAAGATTGCTACTTCTGTGCAGTCATCACATTCTGATCATTAAAAAAGAGCCGGTTCTAAAAATGTCTATCCCAACATTTTTCCCAATAAGATACTGCTGGAATCACACAGATACTGTAAATCACTTTTTAACTATTACACTGTTTGAAATTATCTATGGAAGGAATTTAAATGTTCTTGCACTTCAACCACGAGCATATCTGAGTCAACTTATAGGCAATAGTCAGTCAATAGTCAATATTTCCGTAACACAGGTGAAGATTATTACTACAACTGAGAGAAAGCCCAACCGATTTGTGATATCGACAGTGAAGTCATAGAAGATGTTATCCATCTGGCTCAAGTGGATCTGTTAGGTGCAGTTAGTTTAGATGTGGCCTACAGGAGCATTAGAAAAGAGAACATCTAAGGACAACACACTTAAAGATGACAGCATTTAATCTAGAATTCCACTCTGAATATGTGAAACAAAAACAATTTTAAGAGATTTCAAGTTTCTTGGGCCTCATCTGCGTTCCACTCAAGAACTCAAAAACAGAGCACAGCAGTTGTAAACCAGGAATCCCAATAGGCATTGGTCCTTCACACTAAGAGTAAGGACTTGGAAACGACAGCCAGCACCTCACACAAACAACATTTTTAGATCCTGTCACTCTCAAAATGCTGAGACTGAATGGAGGTATACAAATTCTTCCCAAGATAGTGGTAATTTTGGAAATGACTTATTTATAGTTGATTAAGGTCCAGTATCTTAGAAAAACAGATGTCTGTGGAGACAGTCATAGCTGGACTAGATCTTTCTCTCTATGGTTACCTGATCACTGTTTTCGGTTTTGTTCTGTTTTTCCCTCCTCAGAAAGCTTTTACTTTTTTCCAGGTCTCTACATTTCTTGATTCATTTGACATACATTTCATGGTATCTTCATTCTGACAGATTTTTTTCCTTCTCTGTATGCTGAAGTCCAAGGCTTTTGCAAACAAATGAGTAAGGAGTGATCCCTTTCTAGCAATGAGACATGTCATTTAAGTCATATATCTGAAGGTAAGGAAATCCCAGAAGATACAGGCCAGCATGGAGTTTGGCAACTTTGTGACACTTTGTGTCCAGACCCATCTTTTTCTTCAACAGCTAACTTATCAGATGTTGTATTTTTGTTAACATCCTTCAGAAAAATTTGAAGACTATTTATCACATCTTCTAAAATAAATCACTTCAGTTTGGAAGTTACTTAGTAAACTATAATGACAAGTTACTTGGTTGTACCACTAAAATTGCACCAGAATTTGCACGGCAATAAGTTGGAATTTAATTAATGCTTCACAAATCATTATTCTATTATGTTGCTGCTAGAAAAAAAAAAGTTAGATTTAAGAAAGCAATGTTTCTTCCTCTACTTAATAAATAATAGCTTTTCTCATAACCTCATTCTTTCTTTTTGTCCTCCAGCAAGACTGACAAAAGCAATGTCATAAAGCAGGAAAAAAACCCACAAAAACAAACAAAAAGAAAAACAAAGAAAAACACACAACAGGTATCTAGATTCACTTTCCTTTGAATGTATTTCAAATACATGGAAGTATTGTTCTTACAACACAGACTGGGAGACCTTATATTTTCTGGAGAGATACAGTTACCATAAAATCTGTTTCCAAATGTTCAAAAAATGTATTAATAACACTTCACAGCTCTCCTGCCAGCACCGCCTACTTAAGTGGCATAAAGACAGTATGTCATTATCCACTAAAACTTTTGCCCAGGTCATCACCTTATACAGCAACTTTTTTTCCTCTCTACTACATACATTAGGTACATGCATGTTAGCCAGGAACAAATATTCTACATTATATGGTACCGTATGAATTGCTTCTCATCAGTGTCCTTGTACCAGTTTATTCAGATATTCTACATTTTTTTATTTACCATGAGGAACTCAAACCCTCAAATCTATTACAGAAATAGAATGTTAAAATATAGAAATGCAATATAGAAATGCAACGTTACCTATGAGGATAAAGGGAGAACAACCTAAGTAACAGCAGATTTTACTGACTTTACAGCAGCTGTAATTTAGTTTTTCCCCAAAAGTTGAGGTATGATTAACATACGTGCTAATATCAATCTTAAAATGTATACAACTTCCCATAAGAGAATATCTTCAAGATTGAATTTATTATTAAAAAAAAGGAAAAAAAAAAATAAATGAAAAAGGAAATAAATGCAGTATTTTAAAACATGCCCAATTCCTTTTTTCTAACAAATATTTTTTACATAGCTGCCCGATGGACTTTCAATTCCTAGGTTGAATCAATGATTCCTTTAAAATATCAAATTAGTGAGATCTCCAACAACAAATGCATACATTTGCATCCTTCATTAAGAGTATGATTACTCGAAAAAGGATTTGGAGGAAACTACTTCTTATCCTATAAAACACTTTGCAGGTTCCCACCACCTGTTTGTCTCTTTTCCAATTTATTATTTTGATTTATTACTTTACACTTGATCAGCCAATAATTCCCTTGTGCAATCTTTTGCAGGATAAATACATAATTACTTTAAATTATTTTAAGCTTTCTATAAAACCTGAGTATTATATAACAAGTTAAGAACCAGCCCCAGGGCCAATCTTGGGTAATTAAAAAGTAGCACTTCAAAATTCTCACAACTTACAGCCCATTGATGCAGATTAGGAGAAACAGAAGACAAAGTATGAATCTATTTACAGCTCAGGTCAAAACTGTCATTTAGTAGAAAACCTATAGCTTTAATTCACTAGCAAAATCCAGGAGTTGTGATTTGCTCAGTGGATTTTTAAGTGCAGTCTCAGGACAATATTTAGAGGCTTCCCCTAAACTCATTAATAATTTTTTTGTGTGGTGATTTAAACACTGAACTTTTCTTCTGTAGGAGATTTGCTCCAACTTTGTTAAAATTCAGTGTTGGGGAAAAAAAAAGTGATACGATCAGAATGCTTATCAAGTTAAGGTATTTAGGTAGTCTCCTAAGTGCTTTAATTTGACACTATCAGACTGTGGAGTCAAAAAGTCTGTTCAAAAACAACACAGCAAGCCTTCCTCTTGCTGTTAATTACACTGCCTTTCTTTTATCACTTTTCTAAGTAAGACAGGAAAAGACAGGTACATACTAAGAAGGTTATCTACAACAGCTCTGCTTTCTTCAGTCTCTACATGACCAACAAAGCAGATGAAAAGCCAGATATCAAAGCATTTCTTTTACAACTTTAAAGTAAAAAGGCCACACAGCCACTGTTTAAAGCTCTTTGGAGTCAGTTTACTTTTAGTGAGGTTTCTTAAGGAAATTAGTAAGATTCCTGTACACAGGAAAAACAAGTCGCCATCGGTGACCACATGGTCAAATGGTGGAACAGCTTGTAAAAAGATGCTGTGCAATGTACATCCGTGAAAATACTCAGAAACTGACTGGACAAGGGCTGAAGCAACATTATCTAACTTGTAAATTAGTCCTACTTAGACCAAGAGGCTGGACTGGAGACCTTCAGAAATTCTATCTGACCTACATTAACCTACGGTACTGAGTCATCTATTTACCTTTGAAGTAATATGCCAGTTTCAGGGAAAAAAAAAACTAAGAGGTAAGAAATCACAAGCACTGAATTCTTAGAACTGGCTTCTATGACATTACATTCTTTAGAATTATTTTCTTTTCTTTCATTCCTGGTATCCTCCAAAGTGAATTTTGTTCCATTCTCATTATCCACTCAACTCAGTATGCAGTCACACAACCTTTTACCTTGCTGAGAGTCACATAAGAGCAGGAAGAGGATTTTGGAAATGAAGAGTGTGTAGATGAAGCAAGCCTATGCTTTAGTCAGGGCACAAAAAGTTACTGGAAAATGCAGCTTTGTAAGTTTTGCTGACATAACTATTTGCTTCTTTGTAAAGAATGCAATTTCCCAAAGCAAATCTCTAGACCTTGAAAGTACTGGGAAATATTTTTAAACATTTTGTCTATAAGGTACAAAGGAGAGAACACAGAATGCATTCAAACATAATACATTTTTTGAAGCCAGAACTCAAATAATAGCCTCGCCATAAAATAACTCTGAGATGGAAAATTATTCTGGATAGAAGAATTTGTTTACAATCTCACTGCTTCTAAAATATAAGATACAAAGAATACACAGTATGTAGTTTACAGGAATGTGAATAAGGACACTATCTAGTTAATGAATATTTTACTATAGTATCTATGTATTTACATATATTTCTACATTCCCAAGTTCTTTTATTCCTTATAACTGTTATTAATGGTGATATGCCAATAACACCCAATCCAAAAGTCAGATATGCAGAGTCAAGCTCCTTTAAGTCGTGACATTTGTTTAAAAAAAACCCTAAACTTTGAGTGCCCAGTTCTCATCCTGATTTTTGAATTACTAATTAATATTCATCATCTTTTCCACCTTTCTTCCAAAAATAGTAATAGAATAATGTCAAATCTTACCTGTGAAAATAGTTTCTGACACAATTGTTTAAGCCTGGGCAGAATCTGGAGCTCTGAATTTGAACTCTGAGGAGTTCACAGTTTAAGGTCTAAAGGAAAATTCTTGCTAATATGCACATGCATTATTTACTTGTACTTCAATGTTATATCTACATGGTATAGAAACACTTAATAGTTTTGGTCTCATTCTATGGAGCACTTCATTTGGATTTAAATATTCTCCTGCCCCATCAGCAACCTCTGTACCAGAACTCTGTACTGCACAAGAATAACAAAACAAGATCAGCTAGTAAGAAAACTGCTAGAATTATTCTTTTATCATTTCCCAGGACTAGTGAAGAAAAAACAAATACTGGTTGAAAGTCAAATCAATTGAACTTTGTATTTAGAATTTATTCAGCATGAAGCAAAGGAGCAATAGCATTGTGTATCTGCATTTGTTTCTTAAGAACCACTCAAGGGACAAACAATACAACAAATTCATTCCTGGGCTACGTGGGCTCTGAAGGTGCTTCCAAAGCTTCATTTAAGAGATCCAATTAAACACGAGACAAGTTTTTGAAGGATTTTCCTTCCTAAGTGAGAGTTATTTTTCCATAGTTTGCTTTCAGAAATATTTTTGGTCAGAAATCTGAAGTTTCTCTTCAAGTGAATACAAAAAGCAAATACAAAAAGGTTTGGGTTCTATAAGCTAGAAATGTGGAAACCATTGGTCAAATTTTTTAAAGGGTATCCTGTGCACACTAAGCAGTTCTTCCTTTACTGACAAGAATAACTGTATTAGATACAAAGAAATCTATATTTGAAACAATATTTCCATGAATTTTGAGCTTATTTATTTTACTGTATTACTAATTCTTATTTTGCATAATCTCTACCTGTATGTCAGAGGTTATCTTCGTCTACAAATTGAGCCTTTTGCTTTAAGTTACCAGACAGGACAGGGCAATCAAATAACAGGCTGACAACAACCACACAGGCTACATTACAGTTAAGTTAGCTGGTAAGTAGAACTAGAAGAAGTTGAGAGAACATGAAAGCGGCAAGATGGTCAGTTGTTCAGTAGAGATATACAACTCCTATGAGCTGTAACAAGTAACTTCTCAGTTAAAATCACAGGGAGTTCAGTCCGTGAGGGAGTTTGTTTTATTGAGTGCTTTTAGTTTGTTTGCATTTTTTTTCTTTTGTTGAGTGTGTGATTTTAAACATGGCAGTTAAGACATTCAGTTTAACTGCTCACTGCTAACATCCATACACAAAATTACAAAAAAAGTAAGCTAACAAAGTATTTTTTGCAGAAGACTCTAAGCTCCAGGGTTTACTGCATCTTTTGCCCTGCAGCTGAAGGCCTTGCAGATGCTTAAACAACAGCTTTACAATGTGAATGCAACTTCAATTCATAGTGTCTGACACAAATTTAGACCCTTCACCTCCCATATGCTTGTTACTGTTCCCCACAGCAGACCTAAACGACTGCAGTGCAAAGTGACACTGGCCATTCAGGGTTTGAGATGACCACTCTGCCTTTGCACTGCAGTTGGACTCTTGGTCATGTCTCTGTGGTATAATCAAAGGCAGTACAGGCAGAAATGCTACCTGAAATGCAGTAAGCACTGCTGAGTACTGCTAATACGGCCAACAGGGCTTAATGCGCAACTAATATAAAAGTGTAATACCGAAAACACAAATTTAAGAGCTCAGTGAACTCCCCAAAGATCTCAGCATCTTCAGTAACATTTCCATTCCTCTAACTTAAGACTATATTACATTATTCCACAATGCTGCTGTATCATATTTCTCTTCCTAAATGCAGGAAGCGTTTGTCTTGGTCCTTACTCAGTGGAGACATGTAACTGAACACTTCAAATGACACTGAGGTATTTTGTTAACTATATGAAAATAACAAGATGTTCCTAATTTGGATTCAAGAGAGTAAGTAGAAGATACAGAGCTCTGGAAAACTTGAGTATCTCTTTCAGATCAATCCAATCCATTGGAGGAGCCATCATTTTTCCCCACTATGCTTATCTTTGCTCATCCAAATCAGTTCTGCTCCCCTACTTTCATTTTTCCTTTGTGCATCTGCTCTACATCTCCTGCCTCCACTGTTAGGGTTGTTTTTTTGTTTTTTTGGTTTCTTTTCACCAGTTAAAAACAGAAATCTTACTCTTTAATTCTCTGGCAGTGGGGAGACTTTCAGCTGCTTCTCCATCAGTGCATGGAAATGATTTCACAGTTTCTGTTTATGACAACAATGAAGTCCACAATTAGTACTGCTGCTTCAACATATTTGGATTTCCACCAACACACATTATTTGTGATCTTAATATTTACATGCAATTAAAAGCTGTGCACATAACTGAGTTTCCAAAAGAGTAAACAAAGTATGAGATTGACTTATTAAAAACTTCACTCTTTCTATATTAAATATTTTAAAACAAAATATTGCGTACATATTTTTATATAGCAATCAAGACATTTGCAATTATCTCCTTCATGCAACTACTTTCTGAATAAAAAGTACTTATTTGAAGACCACTTGTCATTTATGTCTCTATCTATGTTTCAGTACAGGGATCTGATATATGAATGTAGTCCAAAATAAATCAGAAAGCAATGGATGAATTTTGGAATTTAAGCTCATGAAAAATTACTTTCTGATGCTTCAGTCATGGTGAACATTAGATTTTAAGTGGTACATACCTGCAAGCTCTCTCCGCTGTGATGGTATTTCCAGGTCAATAGAAACAGGAGCATCTTCAACAACAAGCTTTGACAACTGTTTCCCACAATAAGCAACCTATAAACAAGATCTAAATGGATAACTGTTTATTTTAATTCTTTTGTGGTTTTGTTGTTATTTTTCCTGATACGTGAAAAACTTTCACTTTTCTTTTAAAATTCAGTTTAGGTATTTAATAGTCTGCAGCAGGCAATATTAAACAGAAATTCTGCTGATTAAAATTCTTACTGAAAAAATGTTGTTTACCTACTAAGATCTCTAAAATGAAGAATAATACTATTTCTGCAACATTTATCCCCGACATTTTGACATCTCAAACTGCTGACTGCTTCTTTTTATTCTCTTTATTCTCTTTTCTCATGGTGATGGTAACAGAGCACCAGAACAGGCTACCTAGAGAGGATGTGGAGTTTTCTTCTTTGGAGATATTCAAGACCCATGTGGACACCTACTCATGCAGCTAGCTGTACGGAGCCTGCTTTGGCAGGGCGTTGGACTTGATGATCTCTAAAGGTCCTTTCCAACCCCTACAATTCTGTGATTCTACCTTTCAGCCTTTTCAGTCAACTTCTGAATCATTTCAAAACCGTGTTTTCAAAACACTGACAGCTTATTGACTAGGCTTTCCCACAATCTCTGAACACCTGTATCTAGCACTGTATAGCTAACCCTTTTCTGGAGTTACATATTTCTGTTCACAGCACTTCATTAGTAGCAGGAAGACTTTAAAATTTAGGCTTGTACCCTGCTTTTGTAACTAAAAATGGAGACCAAAAATAGTGAAAATATTTCCTGACTGCATTTCACCTTATAATTTACAGATTCATTAAATATGTTATTTGCATTTATCGATATTATTTCTGAGAGTAAAAATCAAGCATACCTTGTTCCATGCATACTTCCATGTCACATAAATACCACTTCCTAGTAGGTCTTCAACCCATCGAACTGGATTCTGAAATATTTTATTTTTACTTGTTTTGATCTTGCCATCTGTTAAGAGTGTGGCTTTGCAAGTGAATTCCTAAAAAAAGAAAAATAAAGAAATAGTTTTCAGCTCATAAAATAAAAAAACTGAATTTAAATCCCTAAAACATGGAAAAAATGTTGGACTATATACCTGAAGAGTTGTAGCCAATTTTTTTTTTCCACAATAAGGAAATAAAAATTCTTATGGCTTGCAATTTTTTACACTAAGTTAAATTTTGTTATACGCAATACTGGGCAATGCTGTTTAGTACGTACAAAGTTAAACAATCAGAATAAAAGAATGATCCATCAAAAAATATTCAGCTACCTTCCACCATAACAAATGGTTTGACTCTGTAAGAATGTAAACTAAGATGTTTAACTCAAATACCTTGATGAACAGTAAATCTAATTCGCATTTATATAGCATGGGTCCATAGTGTTAAAAAACAACATGCTGCCTGCTCAAAGCTAATTTAAGTAAGTATTATGCACTAGCTATATGCTTTTTCTAAGTATATATAACTGTAAAGAAACTTTGTGAATCAATTCTTTGCAATGCAACAGATACTAGCCTCTAAATTTCAATCTCTACAGCACTTATGATTTTCTAAGACACGAATGAGTGCCATTTTCATTCTACTAATATCACTGACTTCTCTAAAGCCACAACATCAACATTTCAATATAGGGTCATGATTCCTTAGGACCGGAATGTAATAAGTAGCACTGACAGATAACAGTCATCAGAGAAAAGAGCATGTTAAATTCTCTATCCTTCAATTTAATCATCTTAGGGTTTGTAGGAAAATTACACGTCCTCCAATAAAAAGAACAGTGTGTACAGATCCACGACATAACCCAGTGTAGAGGTTTGTAACTTGCTAACACTGGTTTATGGTACAAAGTATAGCAACAAACCAGATGCTCTCAGAAGAAAAGCATTCCTGAGCAGAGTGGAGGTGTAGAAAAGGAGGTCTTTTCTGCATTAACTAGCTATATCTGGTTAGCTGAAAACAACCTTTCACATTCTAATTAATATGTTGCCCTGGAAATTAACTAGCTCACAGATGGGAATTCAGTCAATAGTTCCACCATTTACTGAATACTAAGTCAGGTCCTCAGCAGCTGTCTTAAAAGTCTGCTTTATATTTGGAAACATGGGGGTACGTTTTCATATTAAATAGAGGTTGATTTTTCTTCTTTTTTTTTTTTTGCAGACATGGTTTGTATCAGGCCCCAGAACCAGCTAGTGAGAAATCTGGCATACATTCACGTCTACCAAGACACAGAGGAAATCCTTAATAGCAGCTTCAAAACACTAAGTCATGAAAACCTTAACATTTTCCTCTTTTAAATGTGAAAAACTAGCAATGCACAGCCAATAATTCTACTCCGACTTTAGCAAAGGGAAACATGAAGAAACTGATAATGCAAAATTGAACACTACTTAAGCAGTATTCTGTGTGTTAAAATCACAGACTAAGCAGAGGACATTATCCATAACATTTTCCTTTACGACTCATAAAAGATCACATGTAATTAACACATAAAATTTTTCACTACTAAATGCTGATGATACAGACTGTTTTTTCCCCATTTTAATGTTGCTTTTTTTACCCCCACAATTATTCACTAGTTATTATTATACTATTATTATACTCAACAATTACCTTCAGTGTGAATTCCAAAACATTTTCTCCTGGCTTAATCCTTCCCAATTCAAGAAGATCTATCAGCTGAAGCTTTTTTGTGTTTTTTCTCACATACTTCCTTTGTTTTCGTTCACATTCCTTGTAACCACAGTTCTGGAAAGATTTCTCACTAAGGTTTACTGGATAATCTGCATCTGATGCAAAATTTGCAGCCATCGATTCTGCATTAAATGAGTTCCCACGACTCCGAAGGAACATTTGATTCAGATTAGGAAAGTTATCTGTGGATGCTGATGTTATTACTTGCTGGTGCTGCTGGAAAGCTTTTTTCTTATTTACATATCTGTGTACATCCTCATCTGCAAGAACCTGCTGACAGTCACCACCTGGCTGACAAACACTGTTACTGGCAGCAGCGGTTTGGGCTTCTGAAATACTGAATGTGTTGGTCACTGAAGTGGGATCTAATGACTTGTTTCCTTGCTCTCCAACTGCTATGAGATCAATGTCTTTTTGCTGTGAACAGTTAGTTTCAGCAGTGGAAGCTGCAGGTTTTGAAGGCAATGACACTAACTCTATAGCATTTGTCAACCCTGACATGTCATAGAAATAATATTTTCTTACCCAGTTTTCAGATTCTGAAGTACTATCAGAAACCACTTTGCCTCTTACTGCTTCTTTGTTAGTTTCTGTCTCAGCCAAGCAGTTGTTTGGACACTGGCTGCATTCCTGAGCTGAAGATCTATTTTCTGAAGAGAGATGTGCTTTCACTCTGTTTTCATTAGGCATACTGGCACCAAGCCCCATAGCATCTGTAACTACATTGGGATTCAGGATTTGCTTCTCTGAATCTGATGCTCTGAACACTTGCTTTGTTTTTCTATAATTTTCTATTTTCTGCAGTAATTCCTTCTGGTTTTGGACAACAGTCAACAGATTCTTTTGCCTGGAAGAGAGGTTAGCTACTTGTTCAATCTGTGCTTAAAAGATTCTGCTGAAACCCTACAGAAAATTTAAAAGTAACAAAAAAAAACTCCGGAGTTACTGTGAACACAAAACAGGAACAGCTTAACTCACTGAAAACAGAGATATATTTTAAAGGATTTTATCAACCTCTAAAATATGAACAAAGCTTTTTTTTTTTTTATCATATCTAAATCCTGTCTAAAAGTGAGATGCAAACCATCAAAAATGCAGAAAAAACTTTATATCACTTCTAACTCATCAGGTTTGTATTATCACTAGTCAGCCTTTTATCACTGCAAATCCCAATAGTCCATTGAATTCAGTGCCACTGCTGCTCAAATTCGGAGTCTTTTTTACAGTGAGCTCAGAATAAATTCTTGAAGTTATTATCACTTTTTTTTTTTAATGGTCTTTCACCACAAAATGCTTAGTGAAAATCAAAACTGTAATAATACTACCATAACCATTCAGACAAGGGACTGAGCAGTTTAGAATGTTATATGCTAGCCTGGGAATCTCTTCCTTTTCTTCAGGCCCAGCTTCTTGGTTGAGTTTGTCTCCTTTTAAGAGACAAACTCTTCTTTCCAGAGACTTCATCCCCTTCTGAAATGGGAATTCTTTATTTTCACCACTTTGGCATGAAAACCAACAGTATGACCCCATACTCCTTTTTTTCCTAATCCCACCTCATGGGGCAATTGATTGCACCACTGCTCTGACATCTTACTGGAAAGATAGAGGAGTACCACAAGGTGTGAGAAAAGGAACAGCAGCAAGATTTGCTTTAAACTTCACCCATAGCACAGATACCATGCAAGTAACATTACTCCACGATTGCAAGAGAGAGAGTGTAGAGGGGTTCAAGACAGAGGTACAGTAAGACTATTTGGTATAGAACAAGGACAACTAAATTACAGTGTGACTGTATTAATGCCCAATACTGTGATATGATTAAATCCATGATATGATCAACATAATCAGCTTATTATCAATCACTAATTACTGAGCCTTCACAACTACAGAATGCTGGAGAATACTGTGACACTCCAGTAATTTTTCTTTAGTGAAATGTTGTTGCTTTATTGCTGTGTAAACACAGAAGCAGCTGAAACTAAAGAGAAAATATGAGGCAAAAATGTATGACTGGAATGACAAGGGCAAAGCAATGTACAAATACAACGGTTTTTTTCTCTTCATTTTTCTTAGGTGAGAAAACATTTTAAGATCTTCAAAGAAATATACAGAAATTGAGAAGTAATGTATCTTCCTGTGCCAACAAAGCGAGAAACAGAAAGATAAAAAAACATGGTGATGCTTCCTTATCTTCTGTACATTCATGTCTTGTGTGGCAGAAGATTTTAAGTTACTTCATTAAAAACAAACTTTACATCATACAAATCATTAAAAGGAAATACAATACGATTTGGAATTTAGTTCACTACAGTTGATGGACAGCTGATGCATTAGGCATAGGGTATCTGCAATACCCAGAAATATGTATCAGTTTTCTCCAGAACACCTTTTTTCCTCAATATTAGAAGGCAGATTAAGTTTGTGAAAATATAGATTGTTTTGTCTCTGTTTTTAATTCACTCACACCTTGTTAACAATAATAGTTTGGAAGCCTAAATTCTCTCGTCATAAACCTTCTTGTTTTCTAGTAATTCATGTAATTCATGTAATTCTCCTCCTACTGGAGGTAACAGAAGATAATATGGATCTGCAGCAAAGGCTGAAAGATTTTGTTCTGCTTTCAAAGCACTGTTACTAGTCTTCTAATCACCTTTGTCAGTACTGCTTTAAAAAAATCCTATAAATACAAACCTTGTATTCTACATACCTGTATTTTTTATCAAGGGCAGCCCTGTCTGCTTTCTGTTCTGCAAACACTTTATTCAAAGTACCTTCAATCTGAGACAGGCCTTGGGTAAACATATCTGTTCATTATTTTGATGCAAACAGAAGGATGAGGGTGATGGTTAGTAGAAAACAATTATAGCAATAACATATTTAATATAGCAAAAACCACTGCCCAAGTATAAAAACACTGTTACAGCTTTACATGGCCATTCATGTTAAAAGCTAGTTACAAACAGAGTACTTCCAGAGAAATTATTCTCAGGAAGAACTAAGTACAGGTTTAATTTAAAATTAAATAATCCAAGTATCAGAAAAGTTTGAAGTATCAGTGCCCAGACTAGGAAGTTATAAAGAGAACAAAGCACATTAAAAGAACTGTCCCATGGCTGAGAAGCAATGAAACCTTTTTGAAGTTCTTCATGTTACAAGGAGCTGCATAACATATATATAATATAATTATATCATTATATATGCTATATTATATATAATTATATATTATAATATATCATTTTATCAATTATATCATAGAATCATAGAATGGCTTGGGTCATCTAGTTTCAAGCCCCCCCACTATGTGAAGCAATCTGCAGAAATTACACAAGCTTGAGACGACCCCAAAAACCTTTATATTTGAAGTATAAAATAATTTGATAATTGGAGCTGCTTCTAGCTAAAAATATGCAAAAAGCATACGTGCCTTATTCTTACATATCTTCAAATATGTATTATAGAATATGAATAGAAACCATAAATTCTTATTTGCTATGTTTTTCTGTAGTAGGAGAGGCAGTTAAAATTTTTTCTCTCTTTTCTTAGATATATATCATAAGAGAGAGTTCATTAGTCATGGTCAGCAGACACCACTGGAATAATACGTGAGACATACAATCCCTGAACATATAAAACAGGAAAGATGAGATTTCATTATGGAAAATCGGTAATTATACAACTAAAAAATGTATTTACATTTCAAATAGCCTATTTCATAGTACCTACCAGTATTTATTAAATTAGAAAGATATTAAAATACTGCTCTGTTTTATCATAGAGTCACAAAATGGTTTCTGTTGGAAGAGACTTTAAAGACAGTCTTATTCCAACCCCAATGGCAGGGTTGCCACTGAGGTTGTTGGATTGCTGCCTGTCCAACCTGGCATTAAATGCCCCCACAGATGGGACATCCACATTTGCTCTGGCACTGCCTGTGCCAGTACCTCACCACCCTGAGTGGCTTTAAGGTAATTTAACAGAGTACCTTAGAGTAGTTTGTATTGCATAAACACATCTCATTCTCTACTGCTAGTTTGTCAAAATACTGACATATTGTTGCTCAGTCTTGTGCTTCTTCACAAGTAGTAATTATGATTTAATTTAACAAGTAGATAGATGATTAATACTTTAGTCAGAAGTGGTAACAAATCACCATGTCCATCTCACTTGTATCCCTAAACAGGAAGTCTGATACTTCTTATTTTCCTCATTCATGAAATTGTACATCTGTTTCACCTTATTATGCATGAAGCTTTATCATGCATAGAGGATTCTGCCTAGCATGTCTATTTAACAAATACTTTTTAAGCAAATAAAATTTTAATTAGCAGTTCAAACTTTGTAAATTTGAAGCTGTAAGTCTGTATAATTCCCTATTTCGCATTTATTTTTGAAGGGATAAACTTTAAATATAATTTGAAAGCTTCACGCTATTTTCAGGGAAAGAAAAGAAAAAAATAACTTTCCTTGCTGTTCTCCAGCAAAACACTCTCATGGGCATGAGCTGCTCAAAAATACACACAGTGCTGCCCAGATTGCAGAGGCAGTCTGGGAGAGAAACACTGATCAAAAGCCTTCTTGCAGCAACCTCTGCCACTCGAACAGTCATGGCCTCATGATCTAGGAAGTCAGTGTCACTTAATAGTCTCTTGAGATTAATCTGAATTGAGATTCGGTAGGCCAACTCAAATAACACAATCAGGCATCAGCATTTCTGAAACTGCCCATTATCAACAACACCTACTGTAAGATTTCTCTTTTCCCCCTCATTAATTATTTTAGGCTGCTGAAAAAGCAGCTGCAATAGAACAAAAATGATATAACCAGTACTTTTACATACAAACAAGTGTTCATGCTCATGGGGGGGCTCTAGAAGAATCCCATGTACTTATCACTGAAGAATGCTGCCAACAGTGTGTTTTTTATTTGATGATTTTTTTTTATACTTTTAGTTTGATTTGAAACAAAATATTTCTGTGCTGCCAAGCGGCATGCTTTCAGTTTTTCATTCTTAAGTAAACTAGAAGCACTCTAGGAAGAACAGCTGCTGGGAACTGGAATTAAAATCTTACTTTCAAGTTGTAATTTCTAGAGGAGTTATCCAATCAGGTTATTTGCAATACTTCTTAAAATGATGATATTCGATATTTAGAAAAAGATAACTGAAAAAAACCTGAATTTACATCTACCTGCATCTTCAGAAGTTCTCAGTTCAAGTAGCAACAGCTCTTTCTGCTTCTTTTCAACATCTTGTAAGGCAGCAACAGTATTCTATTAACAAAAACATTATAGCAATAAGTAGAGTCAAATCCACTGCATAACACACTGATCATGATGCATGGTCTGCAAGATAAGTATTGCTGGACTCGAATCATTCCATAGAGGGAGCAGCTACTATGTGCAAGCCATGGGGCACTGATATGATATAAATACTATGGAGGCTGCGCTCTGTAAAGGGATATCATACCCTGGGTTTGCTAAGTCATTCAAACTAGTCCATTATAGAGTCCACCTTCGAGCTCACCACAGCGATCAGACAGTGAATCTCAGCATGACAGTAACACCTGGACAACTTAAACGTTACCTCTAATTATCAGCAAGAGCTTTCCTAACATACGAATCATGCAAAAATCTTTGTGGGTCTTTTAAACTCAGATTAAATGATTTCTAAATGTCTTCATTGTGAAGAAAAAACATCACACTTTCTTGATGGAAAGCCTAGGATTCCTGACCTTTTTATATTCATATAAGCAATAAAAAATATGAACATGTTGCCTATTATTTGCACAAGATGTATAAATGCGCGGGAGTCATGAACAGAGGAAAGTGATAATCCACAATCTTTTCATATGCTGTAATCCACAGTTTACTGATCACAATACTGTTCTTTACGTATACTCTGGAGGGTCAATTATTTTAATGATAGTTCTATGCCATTCAGACAGTAAACGACACTATACAGTAGCACACTGTGAAGCAGTACAACTCTTCTATTATCTGTACTCACCACACTGTATTTCTCACTTTGTGGCTCCAAGGATGTATCACCATCTTCATAACACTTAAAACAAACAGTTTTTTGTCTTCTTGATGTGTAATACATTTTGTCTTCTTGACCTGTAGCACACTTTGCGACTAAGAAAAATAAAAATAATAAATACAATTTTAAATGAAATTGCAGGATCACAGTGTGTTAGACAAGTTAATACAGGTTACAGAAATAAAATGGTAGACCAGACTACAATAAAAACATCTTGCAATGCAAATGAGCTCAAATTTAAGCAGTATGAGGAAATACTTTTTAAAGCTACAATTAGAGATTATAAGATGAACCATGTTATGTCATGTTATTCCTCACATTTTCAGGGAAAAAACACCCTTATGTATCCTATTCTCTAAAACATATAAATAACAATCCATTGATAATAAACTTAAAAATATCTGTGCCAGGCAATGTGCAGCTCTGTATATTGCATTCTAACGTATAGTTTTGCACTGAGATTACAGCGCAATCTTACGGTTTATATTATAAAGCCAACATACCTGTGACGTCACTAGTTTCAACAGGAAGTACATATTCAACAGAACAATAAGACATCAGCAGTTCTTTCATTTCATCATCACAAGCTTCAACCAAAGCACTTTTCCCAGAATCATTCCTCTCACATGGATTTGCCCCATGCTGCAGTAGAATCCTGGCTGCCTATTACATATTACATAATGTTATTTGTACTGTGGTTATTCTTGATGTGGACGTATAATACAACTTATAAATATAAATATTATTTATCATAAATCATGAATAACAAAAGTACGAATAGAGCTGTCACACTTGCAGTGTCTATTAAACAAGTAAGTGCGATTGGCTCTTCTATTTCTAATCTTTCCTTAGAATACACATATAATTTACAACTTTTTGTTAAACTTGTCTTGCCTATGGTAGTGTTACATACAACAGTTACAAAATATCACAGACCTAAATTGAAAAAAAAAAAAAAAAAGGTGGACTATGGATGAAGCACAGAAAAGAAATGGGTTGTTTCGTCTAGATATTTAATAGTGGTTTTATTCTTCAATTATATGCACTAACATTTTTTTTTCTTTTCCAAAGTCCAAATCACTTGTATGTATACTTAATTTTAAAATGTGGAAAAGAGATTCGTGGCATTGATGGAATTACACACCCTTTAAAGTTCAGATCGTAAGAAAGCATCAGGGAGATAGAGCTCAATGATAAAGAATTTCCACATGTATGATTTTTCATATTTACCATTTCTAATTTTCTTATTGTTGAATATTAGAAAGAATATGGAAGTTCAAAATCTGCTTTGTTGTTTCTAGAATAGTGACAGAACCTTCTCTAGTGGTTTCCCCAACAAATACTAAACAGCTTTTTGCATGTTTACAAGAGTCCTATTGAGAGTAAGGTACTAACACAGTGAAATCACCTCTTCCATTTTATCTTGCCCCACAGAAAAGATAAATGGCATGCCTCACAGATAAATGAGATGGAAAATCAGCTCTTTTGATAGGAATAGAGTTAGAGTCAACCTGGCATTATCTGCTTATGCTCAGTTCCTTGGGACTCACTGTGCCAAAACATTTTACTTATTTGTTCACTCAAATAAAAGGCAGACATTTGGCTGTCTCCTTGAGGAGTGTGTTTATTTCACCAATTCTGCATGGATCCAAAGCACATTCCTCAACTAAATTTCTCTTCCATGCACGTAACACCTAGTCTATGGTATTTCCCAGGAATTTCCAGTCATTTAGGACTTTCCACTGTGGGGAAATCTAAATGTTCCCATTTCCTCAGCTACCTATCCCAGTCCATGCTGGAGTTGCATTGAGCCCCAAGTACATTGATGAGCACCCTGGTCTACTCCTTCCCTTATACTGGTACAGTTCTTAAACAGGTTCAGTGGGCTCTCCTAAAGAAAGCCTTGTTTTTAGAGGACTGCTTCTCCACTTGTTCAACTTCCTAAACTAGTTTTACGCATAATCACTGAAGAGCTCCACACTAAAGACTAGCTGGTGACTATTGTTAGAGACAAGCAATGTTAAGCAGTCTTACAGATGTATCATTCCCTTTTTTAACTGAAAAGAGCTCACCTTCTCTCCTACACTCTTGAAGTTTAAGTTAAGTTGGATTTTATTAACAGTAAATGGAAATAGTTTTAAATGGGAATGAAGAAAATATTTACGGGTAAGAAAAAAATCACAAAAGGGAAAAAATATGACAAGATATTTTTAACTGCTAAACCTGATACTTCTTTTACTCATTTTAGACACTGTAAATGGAAAAAAAAAAAAATCACCACAAGAGAAAAGAACTAAGTATATTGTTCAGTAATCAACCATTTTTCATTAACTGGAAAAGATTTTCCTCTTTTATTTATCCACAAAACTTGTTTTCTTAGACAGTATTTTGTCTTCTTATACATCTGTTTAACTCTGATAGATTTCAATGGGAGGTGCATTCATGAAAGCTTCTGATTAATAGTCTCTTCATTAAAAACAAAAAAAAAAAAACCAGAATGCATGTGTACCAGAATTAATCACTGATTTTTTGCCACATCAGGGAAACATTCTGAAAATTTTGAAAAAAAAAAAAATCAATTCTTTGTCTTTAAATATAATAATTTGCTTTTAAAAGTCATTTTGAGTTTTAAACTTGTTCGCTTTAATTTACTTTATAGGAATATTAACCAAACATCAGTTTTATTGGTTTACTGGCAAATTCAGAATGCTAGGTGTTTCACTGTTACTTTTAAAAAGTCCAATATATGAGAGAGAAACATGATTGCCACTGAACCTTTCTGATTTGTACAACAGACTGAAAATGTCAATTCACTGTACAGTCTCAACTGTCACTTCTGAAAAAATAACTCTTCTAATTTTCATTGACTCAAAGAACATTGACTTACTTCCTGAATTCAAGTATACACTAACACTGTACTAGGAACTTTAGATTTTTCATATTTTAACCACTATTTAACTTTGTTGGCCCAATACTGGAAATTAGACTCAGGTAATGTAATTTACAAGAAAAACATACCTCCAAAGAATTGATATAAACAGCATTGTGTATTGGCAAAATACCATCCAGACCTCTGCTGTTAACATCACCACCAGCTTTCAGTAATTCTGAGATCACTTCCGTAAATCCACCAGCAGAAGCTTCATGAATAGCTGTCCAACCTAAACAAAGTAGGATGACATGTACAGCATGCATCTGATTTCGAAACATCCACAAAAACCATAATTAGCAACTACACATTTTGGTGTAAAATTTTCTGTAAAATAAACACTGGATATCTATCTTTAAGACTAATCCTAAACAGAATCATCTTGAATTACTAAGGTAAGTCACGTCCCATGAATTCAGCTTACTTCAGAGAAAAATATATCCAATATCAACCAGGAAGATATTTTATTTTTTTATCAAACTACTAAAAATAATACAAGAAACAAACAAAAAAGTAATTAAAAATAGAATAGAAAGAATTTAAGCAAATGATTTTTTAGACCTGCTCCCAAGGAAATAAGATATATGTGACTGTGTTTCATGCAAAGGTATATATTCATGTACATATCCATCAGCTGCCCCTGACCTTTCATGGGCACTGGTCATTCAACAAAATTTAATAATGGCTGTAAGATCTCAAACATCACAACTTACATACACTGTCTGGTGATTTACTCATCAGTAGAGGAAAATGACTTGATTATTGTCCCTGCTGAGGGAAAGGTTGCATTGCTCCACGCTGAGACACAAATCCAGAGGTTCATACACTGCTTGTACTAATTAAATGACTTCCTCCTCTTTTCCCAACTAAGAATTTTGGAATCAAATCCTAGATTGATACACGCTATTTCTTACAATAGCCTCACACAGCAGGAGATAAAAAAATTTCAAGCTGCCTAAAGACAAAAGAGTGTATTACTCTGTTCCACAGTTTATCATACACCCCATCACTAAAACGGTTTTGTATAAATGCTTAAATAAGGAATGTGTGCTTATGTTTGCCTTTATAAGCACATATACAGATAAAAAAGCATTCTTGCTGTACTAAACACCATCATGTATTTCTAATAATTCCTATGATATTTAAAATTGTTATAGAAATATTTGAACAAAATATAAGAAAAAAATTAAAAACACAAATCAACTATATTTATTTAATAAGTAACAATGACAAAGAGAAGCTATTTTCTATAGCATTATGGTTGAACAGCTTCAAGAGTCACAAAAATAAATCGAGATTCCAAAACTGTATTAAAATTACACAAACTATGTAAGACCATGCAGACCGTAAATGATGTTAAATTACATCTAAAACAAATCCATAAGAAAGCAGTCCTCAAACCTGCACTGTCCTGTTCATTTACAGGAATTCCAGACGATATCAGAGTTTTCACCAAAGATAAATTTCCCCTCCTAGCAGCAATATGCAGCTCAGTTTCTCCTTTTGCACTTTTCTTCTTTCTCTTCTTTGTCTCAACTGTTGTAATACAAGTAACATAAAGTCTTTTATTTTACATTCCATATATTACTCTACATTATGTACATGTAAAACTATACCTTCCTTTCTAGTACATAAGAAATATTCTACAACACATACTGAACGCCCATTAGCAACAAAAAAATGCTTTCTTTTAAACAAGGAATCAAGCTTCATAACTAATTAGAATTATTGTAAACTTGTGCAATAACATGGCCTTAATTATTCAGTAATATCGACCATATCAAAAGTTTAGAAAATAACATCAAAGTGGTGTGGATAAACTAAGTGCCAAAACATTTACAGTTCAGATCTAGAAGACTTAAGAATATCATGGATTACTGATAGGACAAGGAGGAATGATTTTAAACTAAAAGAGGGGAGACTTAAGTCAAATGTTAAGCAGAAATTCTTCAGTCAGAGGGTAGTGAGGCACAGGAGCAGGTTGCTGAGAGAAGCTATGATGCCAGTCTGCCCTTAGAGATGTTCAAGGCCAGGCTGGATGGGCCCCTGGGCAGCCCAATCTAGTGGTTGACAACCCTGCTCATGTCAAGAGGACTGGAAAGTGGATGGTCTTCACAGTCCCCTGCAATCCAAGCCATTCTATGATTTGATGATTATGGATGAACAGGAAAGGTAACAAGGTTGAAGAGTTTTATACTACACAGAGGTAGGAAGTATGTCAAATTTCTCCACAAATTTCTTATAATTTACCATGTCTGCCTGCCAAATATATAAAATACACAGAAAAGGGTATTTAAGAATGCATTTAAAAGTGAAGACAACCATTACCACTTTTCCATTCTGGATTCTGTACCAGAGAGGACACAGATTTCTATGGCAGGTATTTTTACAGCTGTGCTGTGACAAAGTCCTGTAAATTGATTACAAATCTTTGACTAATGTCAAGTAGCATAGCTTAACTACCTTTTAATTCAACTTGTAAAGCACTTGACTGACGATTGTAAATAAATTTTGTTTAATCCTTCTCTTACTGGTTCACAAAACAAACATTATCTACTTTAAGAAGTGTTATATGGTCATGAAATAATCCTAATTCCCAGGCTTCAAGTAACAGACACAGGACTGGGAGAAATATAAAGAAAAAGGAACAGATCTAAAAAGTATAAATTCTGTATACGAAGTAACGATGACCTTCTCCAGCAAACTGCAACAAAACAGACATGCATGTCTGTGTCACAGCATGTCAAATTTCAAAAGCTCTACCATGCATTTTAACCTTTTTTTCTCTTGTTCTCAATGCTTTAATACTATGCCATTTAAAAATAATAATCATCATCATTTCTTTTCCTTATTTCTTAAAAATATGGAATTTATTAAAAAAAAGGAAAGTAAAAAGTATTTTTCAACTCAGCCATGTTTTTTTTTTCAATTATTCATATGAACAATTAGTTCCTGCATCCCAAATGTTTCCTCTTCTCATCAGACAGGCTGTCTTCTCAAGTATTTTTAGCTATCAGTATTCATTACTATCAAATATCTTCCATGATTTGACAGCTGCCTTGCTTTTGGTTCTTCCTGTCTTCCAGAAAAACTATTTTTCCAAGTTTCATTTAAGGTAAACTACTGAGCCTGTCATCCAGGACTGTTTGAAAGCACAGGAAAGACATACTGCCACAATATAAAAGACAGACATGTAGCGAGGATGTATCCACACTAACTTTAAATTTGTGCAAGTTCTGCTGCAGACAGACCATGACAGCACAGAGTTCTACACTGGCTATTATAACCTGTCAGACAGCACTTGTGAGGCCAACTTTGCAATGGGTGTACTTGGGCCACACTGCATGGACAACCAAAGGAGCTAAAAACTTTTTGCAAGTGAAAACTTTGTTTAAAGAGCATGCAGAAGGGGCACATTATTGAAATATTTATCCAGTAGCCTGAGACCTATTCTGTAAAATAACTTGTTGTGTTTTGCCTGCAAGCTTCTGAGTATGAACTCCCAAGGTAATAATTTACTTTCTACTTCCTTTCTGCTTCCCTCCCTCCCTTATTCAAAGACCTATTATTCAAAGACCCTTATTCAAAGTCCTAGGAACTCTTTTAAGAGAAATAGGAGAGAAAAAAGGTGCACAACAGCCCACTAAGTCAACAACACTTAGTTATAAAGGCCGCAAATGAACAGAAATACTTGCAACGTTTTCCAGTTAAGTGGCCATGCACAACACTATTCTTCCTGCTTGCTAGGAAGCATTTGAAATAACATAATAAAACAATGGTATGTAAATCAGAGTTCCCCCATTAAGTACATTGACTGGTGACTCATAAGCAGGAAAGATTAGGACCCTGGCAGATATGTAATCCAGTGATTGCATTAGCAAAGAAAAGGCAGAGAGGCTAGAGTAGCCAACAGTTAGGTTCGATTATGCAATATTTCAACAACTTCTTTAAACAGGCAATTAAATACTTCACTACTGGCCGATGAGTAATTCTTTTCACAGGTCAAACTATAAGAAAAGCAAGCTGTTTGTGCCCTCATTTTCTGTAAGCAGAATAGGAACGCCAAGAGCCTAACAGGTGACTGATTAGACTGAAGTAGCAATGTGCATGTGATCATCTAGGAACAGGAGATTTTCACTCAAGAATGGAATAATATAAGGAAAGTCACTGGGACATTGAACAACCAGATAGGATACAAAAGCCAGTTAAAAGCAAAAATATGTGAAAACTTTGCAAGCTATAAAACATCATCCCATCTTTATTTTTTTTTCTGCTGCAACTGGAATGCCAGTCTCCAAAGCTATTATTGCCTTCAGCTATAAAAAAGGCTTTACTTTCTTCCATGATCTCTCAGACAGTAACACTTCTCTACTATGAAGGAAATAATTAAATTTTAGCTGAAAAAAAAATACGGCCTGCAGAATCTCCCTTGGGGGAAGAAAGTTATCTGTCAAATAATGCTCCAGAGGAGATCAGAATGTAAGCCCTTTGCCTAGGAAGTAAAGAAATGTAAGGGAAAAAACATCCCATTTACCCCACTATAAGTATTGAGCAGAAGCATAATTGATGCAGAAAAGGACATTAACAGGGAAATGAATTATTTCCACATTCATTATTTATTTTTGCAATAATTAAATGCAGATGGTGACATGCATCGAATGTGCCATGTCCAAGAATGATATAAAAAGGCATTCATGTAAGAGAAGGAAGCAATCTAGAGATAGCAAAGCTACGTACTGACACCACCAAATACTGGAGAACAGCAAGCATCAAAGAGCACCTATTTCTTTTCATCTACTCCTTCACTTCTAAAGGAATACAGGATGTTGCTCCAGAAACTCAAGACAACTGAAACTTGAGAAGGATTGAAAATTAGTAACCATCTGAGAGAGAAAGAGGAAACAGCATTCTGTACAACTCAAAAGAAAAGAAAACAAGAAGCTTGTGAGTATCAAAGAGAAAAGATCAGCAAGAACTTTGCATGGTTTACTGGTTAACTTCTGTCATGAGGTGAAGAATGCTAAAAAACATTTCAGAGATTGGGTGGTGATTCCTTAGTTTATTAAGATTATTCCTTAGTATATTAAGAGTAGTCAGCAACCAGAGCAAAGTCATAAAAAAAAAATGCAGCTCTTGCCAGAATAGACAGAAACAGAAATAATAAGTAGAAATGCATATAGGTGTGCCAAACTTACAGAAAGCCAACCTTTATTTGATCTGTGATGCATAAAGTACTTCATGGAAGACCAACTTAGCATTATCTTCAGCTCTCAGTTAAGTGACTTAGTTGATTAGGGATCAATTTAGTCTTATTTAAAAATCTTACTTACGATTCTGTGTTCTCTCAGTTAACACAACAAAGAAAAGACTGACAAATGCAACAGACGAAACAGAGCAAGAACAACTTTTTTTTGTAAAAATGAGTAAGTTCTGGCAATATTTCAAGTATTTGGAAATCACTAGATTATTTGTTGAATATGCTATTCATACTTCTCCATGCTTTCCCTCCTATATTACAAGAGACTTTCTACCCATATGTCTGGGAAATAAAAACTACACTGTTTTTACAAAAAATTAACTTTTTACCTGATTTCTTAGTTGTTTGCTCTGCTGATGGTTGATTGAATTTTGAATGAGTAGATAAAAGCTTGTTTTTCCTTACACTAATACACAAGTCTGTCTTTTGTCTTGCCTCTTGTGGGTCTAACCTTAATCTTTTCACTTGGACTTCTCCTTCAGAGAATTGCAAGAGCACATTGCTCTTTTCACTTCCTTCTTTATGATTTTCTGTGCCTTCTGTTCCACCCATTCCAGCAAATCTTCCTTTATCTGTCAGTCCAAAAAAAGAACTTGAAGAATTTTCAAAAATTGAATGTGTTACTGCAGAGGTATTGTCTCTTGTCCTGGACTAGGTGGTAAGTTAGATTTTAACTTCACTTAACTCTTTACTGAGTAACAATCCATAGATAGTCTAACATATTACTTTATCCACTCTCCACTGTATGCTAACATAATGAGATTAAATCCAAAACAGTTCAAAGATTCTTTTGTGATAATAAGACTTTCATGGATTTATGTTGCTAAAAAAATTAAGGTGCTTATGAATTTTATTCTAATTAACAAAAACAGTGGTCGTATTTTGATAAATTCAATGGGAATTTTGATCTAAAATGGCTCTCCTAAAATACAAAGCGAAAATGAGCAAATAATGAATGTGGCATTGCGAACTGTATCAGAACATACCACATGTTTTTGCCATTTATGGTACATACTCTGGAAATCCACAGTTATGGTGTTGTTTTTTGCTTTAAATGAAGTACATAGAATGCTTACAGACAATTGATAAAATGACTATTTTGAAATAAAATATAGCACTTTTTTCCTGAATAGTTTCTTTCCATGTATTTTGCACCTTCTGAAATGAATAAGGAGACTTCTCTGTATAAATACTGAAATACAAACCTGGCTTTGAGTTGGTGTCCTTAAGATCTTGTCTCTTCCGTTTAATTTGACATATTTTCTTGTCATGGAGTTGTAAAGCTCTGAACAATATCTCTGAACTATGAGCATCTTTAGTTTCCTTCATGTGACATCTTCCAGTGCTTTGTTCTGCATTGAGCAGGATTCCCACTCTTGTTTCTGGTTGTAGAGCCTTTTGCTCATTGTTGTTCAGTACACCATCAGTAGAATTAGAAGGACTTCCAGAAGAACTCACTTCACTAGCAGTTGCTAAAAGCTCACGCACTAGGAGTGTTTCTGTATTTACTTTAAGAGTGCATTCCATGCAGCTGATTCCATCATCCAATATATTAGTGTAAGTGTTTTGCACCTCATTTTGAATAGTCTGTTGCATTATGTCTGCCCTGCCTGAATCAGGAAGATTTGCGCAGGCTAGTTCTGACTCATTTACTTGTAAGGAACCCTTAAACAAAGCAAAAGAAAGATACAAAATCAGAGTTGCTCTATTAATTTTGTTTCCATCAACAGTAGATTTAACTTGATTTGGCAAGTTTTGCAAAGAAATCATTTGTTCTGAAAATATTCTCATATCAGTATTTAGATTCCCGTCTATCACATTACCACCATTACGTAGTGATCAACCCTTTTGAGAGGAAGTCAAAGCAAGCGTCAAATGAGAATCATGTTCTGTTAAATCAGTAGCCTCAGAAAGCTGTACAGACATTTTTTATTCAGAAACCAATGATGCAGAACAACAGACTAGTGATCATCTCCTCTGTTACAACAGAATTTGCTAAGCTTCTGTCATTTCTGTCCTGCAGTTTTCTTCTGTTGAAATTCTGCCTGATTTAGTACACTCAGTTTTCATACAACTTTAACTGGAATGCAACAATTACAATTAGAAACAGTAACAGTGATGTCCATTGTTAGGACCAACACCAGGGAATTAAGTTTTCCCTGTATTCGTTCCTTGGTATACAGACGGACAAAAAGAAAATAAATACTTGTTGTGTTTATTCTCTCTGATTAAAATTACTTCTGAGTAGTTTTAGCCTTGACTCTAGCCTCTGCAATATCAATAACAGGTATTTATATTTTTTTTAATGCTTATTTTTTGGGTTTTTTTTTTCCCCCCATTCAGTTTTCTGTCCTCAAAACCCTGAAGAACTATATCACACCATAACAGAATCGTAGGGACTGGAAAGGACCTCTAGAGATCATCAAGTCCAACTCCCCTGGCCACAGCAGGCTCCCTAGATCTGGTTGCACAGGTAGGCATCCAGGCAGATGTCTCCAAAGAAGGAGACTCCACAACTTCTCTGGGCAGAGAGATCTTTTGGTACATTTCCCCAAATTCATTCTTCTGCTTTGTTCATGTTTAGCAATTATTTCCTTTGGTGCTTTAGTTTTTTAATGCTGAACTGTGCTATCTGCAATCCAGTCCAAGGCAGATGTTTCCTAACTTTTTCCTATTTGAACCTAATAAAAACTTATTGCACAGATGCAAGCTATCCAAGTGTTACCAGCCAGGCAACAAGTACTATGCAACTGGCAACTTTTTGCTGTTTTAGCCAGGTTTCTGAAAGTACAGAAAGGCACTAACATACCATTTTTGTTGTAAACTACCTCTGTAGCACTTGCAAAAACTCAGTAAGAACCACTGTGCAAGAGAGAAAGCTGACTGCCTCTGTCATGCATGTTCACAAAACTGCAGATTACCATAGTTATCATCAGGGATCAGCAACTATTTATCAAACTGTTTGCCATAATTGCCATTGAATGTCATCCTGCTTCAGCCTCTGCTGGATATGTAACATCTAGTACATTATGTGCTGCTTTTGAAACACATTTCTTAAGCAGTTGTCTGAATTTTACTGAAGACTGCTAGAAGTCCATAACAGTTCAGCATCAAATCAACAAGGAGACTGTAAAGATCTACCTGGTGCAGATTTCTATCCTCTGTACTTAATGTATTCTCTGTATCACCTCCACCTGGAAGGAAATTAAGATAGAAGGAAAGCATTAATGAAAAGGGACTATAATTCTTTGCTTTCTATACATAGCATCTTGTGTCTGTAACCTAATGTGATGGGTACTGTTAGAAAAGTCACCAAGCTACAGGCATTCTACAAGGATCTCAAACATTTATATATAAATATACATATACTAAAATTTTGGGGTCTGATTTTCATTGTAGAAGGGATTTCGTACAAACCATGAGAGAGTGTAGTAAAGTACGGAACTATGTTTTCCAATTTTTCTGAAGATTAATGACTTGAGCAATTATTTTTGAAAATTAGAGGAGCTGCTGCATTTCCCTAACTTATAGTAGGCTTCTCTGGTCCCAAGAGACTTCTGAAGCCAGTAACAGTGGAATAATTATGCCTCTCCTTGCATAACCTGGGCAGAGAAAGATACAGAATAGCTAAAGTTAAGACTTCAGTGGAAGAATAAAGAGGGATATTTCCCAGTACCAATTTAGTACCTTGATGGCATGTTTTAGCTTTCCAGCTACTTTTTGTGCTGATAAATTGATATATAAGTAGTACAGCAGCTACCAAGTTCTGACCCTAGTATTAATATACTTTATATACCCATGCAAAGCATTCTTGAAAGTATGCTGGTCACAAAACACTGAACCCAGTTCATTGCACTTTGCCATTTTTACTACAATATGTATGCTACTCCCAGCTCTAAGGTTTGCCCAGCAACCCATGCTGGAACCAGCTAAATTAAACAGGCATTTCACAGCATGTCAACTCCTTCTCCAACACTTTTGGAAATCCCACCTACCGGATGTCAACCCTTAATCCTTAGCACCACCTTCAGTGATCCACTTCCAGCCCTTCCAGTCTTGGTCCCAAATCAAGCACAATGGTGCAGCTATTGAACACTGATGAGGACAAGTTCTAACCCAAATCTTCATTTCAAATGTAATTCAGTCCCACCAATCTTAATAAGGCTCAGAATATCCACAAGACCTTTGATGGCTAGAGTCTGAAACTCTAACCATAGACCTTCCAAGCATAGAAATTCCTGCCAGCAGCTTTAATTTTTATTTACCTTATATTTCAAGCCAATAGCTTCTGTGTACTTCTTATAACCCTGACTCTAAGCTTATTCTATAAGCTTATTTGCCTCTGTAAAGCCCCATGTAGTATACTGTGTTCAAACTTGGAGCTCCCCATACAGGAAGGATGCAAAGCAATTGGAGCAGGTTCAGAGGAGGGCCACAAAGGTCTGGAGCACCTCTTCTATGAAGAAAGGTTGAGGAAACCGGGCTTGTTTAGCCTGGAGAAAAGAAGGTTCCTGGAAAACCTTATTGCAATGTTCCAGTATTTGAAGTGAGCTTAAAAGCAGGGGGGAGACCAACTTTTTACACAATCTGATAAAGATAGGACAGGGAGGAATGGCTTTAAGCTAAAAGAGGAGAGATTAAGGTTAGAAATTTGGAAGAAATTTTTTATTCAGGAGGGTGCTGAGGAACTGGAACAGGTTACCCCAGAGAAGTTGTAGACCTATTCCTGGAGGAATTTAAGGCCAGGTTAGATGGAATCCTGGGCAATCTGCGCTGGTGGGTGACAATGTTGCCCATGACAAGAGTGTTGGAAATAGAAGATCAATAAGGTCTCTTCCAACTTAAGCCGTTTTATGATACTACTTCAGACATGCCACAACCCAACTAACTTATCAGTGTCCAGCAATCCTAATTCTAACTATAATCAGGGCTTATCTTGTGGCACTTCCTTATACCTCTCCCCATCCAAACAACCCTGTCTGAACATTCCTCCCAGCTCCAAAGATCATACAAGATCTCTTAAGACCTTACATACAAGAACTCTCACCTTAATCTAAACATTCTCCTACCAACACCTCACAGGCTCAGTCTTCACCTTAGTTCAGCTACAGCAATACTGTCCCAAAATAGTAATGTTACCCTAGTTTCTACCCTAACATGAGCAGCAAGGATAAGCAATTAACTCTCTTACATTAAGACACTCTTTTCATCTCTTGTTTCACTCATTAACACCTCTTGTCATCTTTATTTTAAATATAAAAATAGCTCTAGTCCAAGAAAAAGAAGAATATAACTTCTTGTAATACTTGCAAACATACAGCAATCGTGCTGTATGTGTGGGTAAGAAGTGCTCACTAGAATATCAGTCAGCAAAATCCATGGAATTACTCGCTATACTTAAGGAAATAGTGTGCAACAGCTATTTGGTGATCCTCCATTTAATAATTATTCTCTCCTACCTGATACTGAATCTCTTTCATATCTTGCTAGATGGCGTTTTAACAGTCTCTTCATGCACAGGTCAGAAGCTTCATCTAATGCACTCCTTCCCATCTCATTTTTTAATAAGGGATCAGCTCCATAATGGAGTAACAATGCTGCTACCTAAAAAAACAAGTTTTTCAGATTGTTTCCCTTCCATCAGCATTTCCCACAGTTCTTCCTTATACAGGCTTCTCCTTTACTTAAGAATATGAGCAACAAAAAAAAAAAAAATAAAGTCTATAATAAATAAGTACTTCCTATATTAGTTACCACATCCCAAGCATTCCTCTAGATACACCATTATCTTAAAGTCTTACTATTTTTACTTTTAAGAGTTCTTTCATGTTACTCACCAGATGCCTCTAAGCCAAGGTCTCTTAAAGCAAGATAGGATTCATCACTCCCTAAGTTCATAATTATTGGAAAATAACAAGCAATTTTAGGATACGAGTCTGCTCACTCATCTAAATTATATAGCTTAAGAGAATATAATTTTCACTGTAGGTGTGTACTTTATTGTGACTCCTGTGTCTGCAAAGTAAATTGTCAGCTATTTCAGAGGAACAACATACATTCAGTCAAACAAAACCCACTCAAATGGTCTTACCAATATTTCAGATTCTGTACAAATTGTAAAGCCTCATACCGCTGTTATTAAAAAAAAAAAATCAGCACTTGAGCAAAATGTTCCATCTGGTTTTGCAGAATACTTTTTAAAGACATTGAAATTTTACAATCTGATCATCTTTTCTATCACTGACTGCAGTCTTATTCCAACACTAGAATGGCTATACCTCTGCCTTTCTCTGGTCAGCATCTATTTTGATCTGTTAGCCTACATCTATACCTCATTACCTCTAACAAGACTGTTACTGACAGAATTTCTAACAAAGTTTTCTCAATTCTTACATTCTCCTGACAGCACAGCAAATAAAGCAGCACCCAGTTCATTGCAAAAACCCTCTTCATTTTCACTAGTTGTCCCAAATCTATGGAGTCTTTCAAGCAAGGAATATTAAGGACTGCATATCACATTTGCATACTCTCACACTTAACAAGAAAGTATCATAGTTTTCCACGTGCTTTTTTTTTTTTTTGTGTGTGTGTGTGTGTGTGTGTGTGTGTGTGTGTGTGTGAAACAAGAAATTCATTTTCCTATATTATAAGTAGCAAAAGGGATAAAGCCACATTTCCAATTTACAATACTATCTAGAGAAAGTAACTTTGAAAGAAACAGCTACACCAAAAGTCAAGTGTGCCAGTCACTGCAGCGATACAAATGTAATGCTCCTGAGCAAACAGAGCCCCAGTGTGCAAGTACCATTTCACATGAATGTATCAGACCACATAACAATTAACACAGCTCTAAGTAGAATGGTGTTGATATGCTCCAAGTGACCTAGCTGAGATCAGTGTTTTTCCAATACTGTTAACAGTTACTGACTCTTAAAATATCACTTGTAGAGATGCAGAGTCCTTGGTGTCTAACCATGAACTTTAATACTTTCTTCGATACTTTCACAAATCTCAGAAGTACTTAATAAGCTTCCAAGGAGTCAGGAATCCACAAGCTGCAAACAAAGCTTGGGGCTTCAAGTCTCAGGGAAATCATTAACCCTTCCTCTTTGCTCTAGGGAGACTGAAGGGTAAACAAATTAAGTACCATCTTGGTTGTAAAATTGAAAGAGAGCAAATGTTTATGGACAAAACTTACTGCATCCCACAGATGTGCCTAGGGGAAAAAAATACTGTAAATGAATAAATATAGGCAGCAAATGCGCATTTCTAGAAAAATAAACAGTCAGCAGGTGAAAGTGATGCACAGAACTATGACAGAAATCTGGACCACCCTATGATCATGCACAGGCAGTTGGAGGCAAAAACTACCAGACTGAAAGAGGATCCAGAATTCAGACATAGGTTATGAAACCATAACATTTGGCAGTGTTAGTTATAGTTAATTTATACTGATTATTCACTTGGCTTTCTGCTTATAATAATATAAACAAAATACAAAACCATATATTCATAACTCTCCACAAGATTATTTTTTACATAAAAAATATCTGTGTGTGCTTGCAGATGCACACCACATACCCACGTTTACTGAAAAACATGCATGAAAACAAAAATCATTAATACTGCAGTGGACTGCTTAGGTCATAAAGTGTTTCTGCAGTGATTATAAAGTAAGTTACACAAAGATGTGAAAAAATAGTAGGAATCTGTTTATCAGTACTTTGGCCACAGTCCCAAATAGAAGGAAAAAAAAGTAAAGCATGGTAATGGTTGAAATAGGAGTTAAGCAGAAAAGAGTTATTTACTCCTGAATTAAGCCATAATCTGAAAGGACAGGCCCACATGCAACAAGACTATGTGACTTTTTGGACTAACAAAAAAATTTAAGTTCTTAAATCATAATTTATGTCCAAATTGGAGTATACCTTATAATGGCCTTCTTTAACTGCATCATGCAATGGTGTTATTTGTTTATCTCCTCTAGCATTGACATCAGCTCCTGCTTTCAAAAGCTCCTTTGCTATCCAGTAATGGCCCTCTAAACTTGCTTCATGTAGCGCAGTCCAGCCTAAAGAAAAGAAAACTTAAAAACTGAAAATATTCATATTTGAGTGAAATATTTTATAGAAAATGTATCCGTTTTAGACATTCTATTTGATAAATATTTCAGAGGGAGATAATGAAAAGGTAAGAAATGATTGTGTTTTACAGTGAATTGTATAAAGAAATGCTTACTAAAAATCTCAGGTGTTGGGAGCTTTCAGTTTTTTGTCAAAACTTGCTCTCACTGAAGAAACAGGGTATACAGTAATGTTAGTTTGCTACTGACAGCACTTTTAAAACTTCTTTTGAAAAAAAAAATAAAGAAATTATTCCTCCTACACCTTAATAATTTCTTCCTGAATGCAACACGTATGCTATTTTAAGAACAAGGTGTATTTTCATTATGATCTTTTCTCTTTATCACCATGATAAAGAAGGTAAGTAAGAAAGAAAGAAGAGACAAAAATAAATAAATAAAAAAAATAGCCATGTCTTAGCAACATCTATTTGCTAAGTAAAAATATAAGGCAGCATCTCCAAAAACATTTTAATGCTTTTCAAATTTCTAAAGAAAGCAGTATATTATCTGTTCTCAGCTATATGGAATAAGCCAAGATGGCAGCTTCACATGGGTCAGTTTCATGACCCACAGAACAATTACATCCCAAGTGCTAAGGAGAAATAAAGGATAGAAAGCAAGCTTTTGAACTGGTTTTAACATAGCCTTGAATCAGTTATTTAAACATCCATTACAGCAAAGTTTTTGTTTGTTTTGGTTTTTTTTGTTTTTTTTTTTTTTTTTTTTTTTTTGTAGAGTGACAAAACTAAGAGAAAAAGAAAAAAAGATCTTCCAGTCCCGTGCATTTTATAGAGCACCTAATCATAGAATCATAAGGTTGGAAATGACCTGCAAGATCATCTAGTCCAACCATCCTCCCCATTACCATTTTTTAAATGAAGAAATTCTAGTAACTCCATATCCTGGAGCAAAAGCTTGAAATCGTTCAAGGAGAAGAGATGAAAGTTTCACTTAAGTGAAAAAATCTATTTTTTCCTACCTTAGAAGTATCTTCTTTTTAATATAGTAATAATATCCTGAAAAACTGTACCTGGAACATGAGTTACAGTGCTAGAGCTGAGCAACACCATTCTCCAAAAACCACAAAGACGACAAAGTGCCACTGCAATTACTTTGTAAGTCCCCTAAAGGACTTCAAATAATGATCCAAACTGAGACCACAGACAGTATTTTCCCCATAGTTCTCCATATTCTTCACACATAATATCCAGAAAATAAAAAGGAAAAATGAAAATCAACTTCAAGTATTCAGTAAGGCTCTGAAGCACAGTAACGAAGTGGAGGAGGAATGAAAAAGGTTAGGTAACATATGGATAACGATTGGTAGACACTTTTAAGGGAATAGACAAGGCATAGGGCTGGAGTACAGTAATCAGAACAATGATTATTCAAAGAGAGTAAGATGAAAGCCTTTCAAAATGTCACGGATCTGTCAGTGCTTTCTCATTATGTTTTCCTTGCTACAAAATAAATCAGCTGGGCCAGGCGAGCTTCCCATCTCTTTGAGGAATTTTCCTAAATGATGTTTTATGCGGTTGTGCTTCTATCCAAAAGATAATCACCTTTAGCCACAGGACAATCATTTTTTGTTCTCACAGGAAAGCTGTGAAATCTCAGCCATCACACAAAATGGACACATTCCAGGAGTGAATAAAATATCTGTGAAACACATTATACTGATTACATAATTAATGGACTAAAATTTAAAAATTTCCTTTTTTTTTTTTAATACACTTTTATACATAGGTCTATTTGTCTTTTCATGAAGAATTAGCAAACTAAACCATAAAATCACAAAGATCTACTGACCAGTCACAGATCTAGTCTTTTACTGCTCAAACTCATATTATGTACTTCCATTACTATATCTATACATATTTTGAAAATGGTACATTAATACAGCAGCAACTTACCAGCATAATCCTTATCATCTATGTTTGCACCAGCTTTTATTAGGTTATGTACATGGTTTAGATCTTCAGCAACAACAGCTCTGTGTAGTAAGGTCTCACCATACACATTCCTCTTATTTATTCTGGAAAGCATAGCACGGTATTGAGGATCTGTTAAACTCCTACAATAGAATTCTTGTCCTAAAAAAAAAAAAAAAAAAAGATTAAATTATAGCTCCATTCAAAAAAGATGCCACAGCGAATACCATAACAAAACTCCAAATTAAGTTCAACATGCAGGAATGTGACTTTAATAAAAGTGTTTAGTTTAGGCTTCTTGTTTTTTTAATGACATTTTTGCAAAGGACATTCTTTCCTAACAGTTGATAAAGCTACTTTATAACTCATTACAGATGAACAGACTTCGGAAGCTAGTCAATAACTCAGTAACATCCATTAACAGTCAAATTTATCAGTACTTTCTTCGTAACTACTTGCATGTTAAAACTTCTACTTCACAATCAAGGAATATTTACAGAAGTATAGAGAACAAATTAGCTTCCTCAAGTTTCTCAATTATTTTACAAACAGCTCAGTCAACAGTGCAGTGAAGAAAACTGTTGGACCAAAATCATTAGCTACCCAACAAAAATTCTCTCTGCTTGAAAGTCAGACACGTAAATGTAAAAAACTAAAAGATACAATTATTAATTTCTAGTTCCTTATTTTACAAAAGAAATGCTGTCTTCCACTGTGTTTTCACTGTACTGTATTTCAGATTGGATGAAATCATTTCCAATACACAGATGAGCTGTGTGGCATTTTACCAGCAGCAGATATCGCACAGTGGAGATGAGCATTCTGGCTGCTGCATCCCTGAAAAACAGGGAGGGAGGAGAGAAAGAAGGAAAATACAGGAGGATGGGCTGCAGTAAACTACATTCTAGTGGTTTGGGCCATTAGTTCATCTACTAGTGAAAAAAAAACATGGTTTTTGGGACCACATCTCCACTGCTCTTCTTCACAGTCTGAACTAGATGCTGTTCACTGTGCCAAAGGCATTAGGAATAGAAATTTTAAGCAAGCCGTAGTTCTCTAAAGGCTGTAACTCACAATACCTAACGTGTCTACTATTCAGTGAATTGTGGTATACTGTGAGCTCAGACTTCAGTTGTTCCCAACCTTCTTAAGTGCTCAGATCTGCATGTATTTTTAGAATCCAGTAGGAATGGACTCACCCAGCACCTTCTGACAGGTGAATACTAGGATAGTATTTCCATCCTATGTGTTCAGTCTTGCAAGACGATCATTCACAATACATTATAACAGCATTCAAAGATTATTTAAATCAGCCAAGAAATTTAGAAGGGATTACACTACACAGACAAACATAAAACAAGGTGCAATTTCATGTTATACTTAACAGAATTTAACTAGACACTGTTACTTCAAGAAGTCCTATTACTTCTACCCTACCTTCCCTACCACCTTCCTAGTGTCAGACCAACTGATGCCTAATGATCCAAACCATAACTTTAGTGAAGCCTTTTTTTCAGTGAATTACCAAGCTAAGATGTCTCAGAGTCCTGATTAGTAAATCCGATGCAAAAGGGAAGCATTTGTTAGATTACAGTAACATGAAAATACCTCTATAAGCAATGCAATTCCTTCAGCAACAACTGTGCTAAAAACAACAGCTTATTCTTTAAGTAGAAACTAAGTCACTAAGTAGATTAGTTTGAAGCTCACAAAAATTGTACTCCTAAGGGGAATAATGAAAACCCTGTGATAAGAGTTGATAATTGGTAGTAGAATTGTCGATATTTTCTAAGATCTACAATGTAGATGTTACTGTCTTAATACTTACAAACTTTGTAACCTATTTGAATGATGAATTCAGACTGAAGGGGTTTTAACAAGAACAAACTTTTAAGATCTCAGTCTTAAAGGTTAGCTCTAAAGTCAGCATTTAAGTATGGAAATTCTGTATTCTCCTACCACTCTGTGAGTCATAAGAGTTTGTTTGCATCTTCAGACTATGAAAAACAGCAATATTCCTCTGTGACAAAGGCTAAGGCAAGGAAGAATACTTGAAAGGGCACTCAGTGACAGTAAGAGGGAAGGTCAATAACCTTACTTTACACCTGAATAGAATAACAAAAGAAAGCCTTTAAAATAGAATAAAATGCTTTGTATAGGTGAATTCTTAAGGATTGCACTGCTCTCAGTGATGTTGCACAGCAAATACTAGATTATAGAATTAGGATCTACTTTTAACTCTGTAAGAAAGCAATTTTCTTCTCTTTCACAGAATATACCATAAACGCTTCATATATTGTTGTATAATAAAAAAATGCACAATGAAAAAACTCTCATTATTCTTACTGAGTTTGTGTGCACAAACAAACTGCTAGATGGTAATAGGCAGACTTAAGCAAAGTAAGTTACTGATGATTTTAATTATTAAAATAAATGTTCCTATTATCTTTCTAAAAGAAATTCATGACAAGATAGTGGAAAGACTCTGAATTACATTTGCTTCAGTATACACGTTTAAATGAAAAAGCATCTGATACTTATCAGACAGCTATCTTACTCATTTTATCTCTGATTCTTTTGCTCCTCCTTCTCTCGTCAACTTTTCTATCCTCATTTTTAGATGCTTCTTGGGACCTGTTGATTTCCGGATCTTGCTTGTTTTTAGAAGATTTCTGAATTTCACTGTCAAGACATTTGTTTGAATCAACGAAAACATTCTCTGTAAGAAGCTGTGTTTTCAGAAGATCTAAGATGATTAACATATTTGACTGTAAAATGAAGTTTCCAACAGTGTGGAAGGATACATGCCAACTTAGTACTGAATAAACGGAAAAATCAGGAGGGAAACTGACTTTCATATCTTTAAAAAAAGAAGGAAAAACCTTACTTCTGGATCATCTGAAGTCATTAACATGAAAAATATGTACTCGGTATGTGTTGTACATTAATAAAAATAAGAATTTAGGAATATTACACATGCCTTTGTCATACCTAAAATATTTAGCTTTGCTTCTTGTAGAGAGATTGTGAGGCAGTTTTTGCAGTCCTTCTGGCATCTGTTCATGACTGGACACCCTATCTCTGTACCTTACTGAGGAAGTCTCTCTTAGCTCCATTGTTCTCCCCGACGTTGTTTTAGTGGTTTCTGCACATAAAACAGCCTCTACTAAACGTGAACTTCCCTGCCTAGTTCGTTTTTCTTTACAGGTGGCACTCCAAAAATTGGAAATTACTTCTTTCCCTTTCTGATCATCACTCACAAGCTGTGACAAAAAATAAGTATTACAAGTAAATGGTAAGCATGCAGTTAAAATAAGCACTATAGATATAAGAACTTAAAGAACATCATGCTATGAATTATTTACGTGCTCAAAGATAACAGAGAAGTTACTTAATAACTAGAATTCTACAGATTGCAGAGACAGAAGTTTTCATAGGAGAGGCATTCCTAAAGCAGTATGCCACATCATGTTGTACCAAGCGAAATACTATACTTTGTATCTCAACTTAAGCAATATATCTAACCTGGATGACAGTGAATAAAAGTTGCTATTATCTAAAAGTTCTTTAGCCAGATGTGTGAAATGACTTAATAGATTAGTTTCAGTTTCCTATGAACATAAACTCCTGTCCTGAAAAGACAATATAATACATATGACATCCTAAGATAAATCATCTTATCCCACTCTTGATCTAGCCTAAAAAAGTGTGCAAGATCTTGAAGCATGCTTCACCAGATTGAGGTTCAGTAACTACCAGCTGAGTTGTTGATCCTGAAGATATACTAATCCTCATCTACAGCCACTACAAAAGGAAATCAATTTACCTACAGTCTTCTAAAAGCCAGGTATCTAGATGGCATTAGACATCTTGGCTCCCCTAACAGTGATGAAGAAGACCAGATACTTGCTGAGTGATTCATTTCATTCCAAACGGTGCTAAGTGGAACCTAAATTACTGCATTACAGCAGAGGCGTATCGCTAACAAGTGAGCCAAATCCCATCCTAGCTATATGTCATCATATGAATTTGAGTTTGTTGAGGTTATTCTGTTTTATCAAGTGTGTGTGATATGCTGCTGTCAGTCAAGTTGCTAAACAGCTGGTATTCATTAGGTTATTACACACTTGACTAACACCGAAGGTCTTGGGGCACACCCTCAGCACACACGCATGTAAATTCCTTCAAAGTGATGTGGGAGAACTTGTTAGTACTTCACTGGGACAAAAAATGGGCTATCTTGATTACATCTACACAACAGTACAGGTTCTCCACTTTTGAGTCCTTGTTGAACAACAAAAATCCTCTGAAAAAACAAGGACAAGAAGAAAAGGGAACAAATACACTGTTAGAAGGCAATATACTAAAACAAGTATCTATTTTTCCTAATAGTTGTGCTTCCTTTCTGCCCTTAAACACAGCAGATGAAAACAACAAGAAAAAAAACACTCTAAAAATAATTATTAATTGACAAGAGATTATAGATTACATCTTGAAAGGACCCAGTTTCATAATCCTAACTGAAAGCTTTTGTAAGTTGTTATTCTAGGACATGTAGCCTAGACATCCTTCAGCACATTTACGTTAGCTACCTTTGCAGCACATTTGATTATATGCTGTTTTACTCAATATTACCAACAAAGACCTAATCAGTTGTTAGCTTTTGGATGCTTTGTATCATCCTAGGGAAGCAGACTATAAAACCAAGTAAAGTACCTAGTTATTGTATTGTGATTCTATATTTCAGTTCCAGATTATTCAAAGACAATGCAAATAACTTGATTTCAGATTTACAAAGGATGGCTGCTACACTCCATAGCATAAATTTACTTCTATGTTCCCTTAAATATTAAGCAATAATAATGTTTCTTTCCCTTTACAACCCTCTCTAAGCACAGGGTTCGAGGGGAAAAAAAAAAGACCAAATCTGTATCCACATGCACCACATCTTCAGGGGAGGACATGAACACCAAACTATGTTTCAGTTTTTTTTCAGACATTCTTGAAGAGGCATAAATAAACAACAGAAATGCAATTCTTCACACATTTGCTAAAGATTCTCAAAAGCAGTCCCACTAGTCTCTGGGAGACACAGCTGTAATTTCTTTTTGTAATACTTGCTGCTATTGTGGCAGGAATTCTGAAAGCAGAACTCAGCATACTATAATATGGGAGAACAAACAAACAAACAAAAAAGAATAAACAATACCAATTGGCTGGTGTAGTATCCAATTGGTATTGTTTTTTTGGTGTTATTTTTTTTTTTTTAATGCTTTTTGTGGAATAACAGAACAGTGGAGTGACAGAAGAGTGGTTCAGAGCTTTGTAAACAATACCATACAAATAAGGCATGCAAAAGTACAAAGAGTTTTTGAAACTCCTGTGCTGACTCCAGATTTCCACGTGAGTCACTGATTTAATTCCACTAGGATTTCTCATACCAAGGTTGGTTATTTTTGTAATATGAACATATTAAAACACCTCTAAACTTGTAAAACAAAAACACTGAAGATATATTAAGCATTTAAATTACCTATGCCAGGTTTTTTTCCTATTAAGATTTTTATATCCAAGTAATTTGACTATTGCAGAAAATATTTTCGGATAAGCATAACCTATCAAATACTGATTAAACTATATATGTACCTGCTCATAAGTTGTCCTCTGCAAGCTAAATTCTGTTAAAGTTTTTGATTTGTCCACCTGAATCACAGGAAGCTGAGGCTCGAGCACGCTTGTTATCTGTGTACAGTCATCTGCCACTTGCCTGGCAATATCGTGTTCTGAATTTGCCTGCTCGTCTTTGGTGTTAAGCTGTCTCTTGCTTGGCACTACAGGTGTGTCTGGCTGTACTACAGATCCGGACATAGAATTCAGATCTGCCACAAGCTTTTCTAGCAGAGCATCACTGTTCTTATCTGCTGGTGCGTCACTGGAAAAGACATGATCAGGATACTCTAATATCACTGTAGGACTCCCAGAATCACTAAGAACTCTCAACCAATCACTGATTTCAAGTTCACCAGTCCCTAAGCTCTGTTCAGTGAGTGACAATGATTCCATGAAAATCTTTCCAAATGCTGACAACGAAAGACTGTTATCATTGTTGGAGGGTTGTTCCTCTGTGCCGTTATCTGTGTCAATCACAGCCACGGTGGGCCTCAGGCAATCTTCTAAAACATGCTGAAATACATCTTGTGGTGTTATTATCTCCTCCAGAAAGGTATCTGGACACAGGATTGCCTCTGGAGAGAGATCTTCACAACTTAATTTCTGTAAAATTTACACATTAAAAAAATGTTTACAAAAAGGAATGTAACCACTCTTTCTAAAAAGCACATAATTAACACCCACTGTACAAGTTAATGGTATACATGTTTTGTTCACAGTTTTTGCATAAATTCTAAGACCTGTAAGCCTACCTTAAAAGTTTATTTAGATTTAGATAGAAGCCTCAGTTTCAAAAGACCACCTGTTGACTTCCTTAGCAGTGAAAATCCAGAATAATGGAGACTAAAATTGCTATAAAATCAAAGATCTTACGCTTTTGTGAATGACCTGGTAGTGTTAGAAGTCTTCAGAAGAAAGACATTACAAGTTTTTGTCAGAGAAAAAACAAAAACAAACATACAATATAAAAATGCCTATTAGAACACTGTATACTATGAGTTTTGATTATCTATTTATGTGGATCCCAAACTATGGAGCATTTGTGCTTCACAATCATCAGGTCAAAGTCTTAGAAGTATCACTGGAGACTGCAGGTTGGAGTCTTCATGCTGAATACAAAACCACAAAACCAAAACTATTTTCAGAAAATAAATACTGTTGTTTATTCTCTACTTATAGTTGCTTTCATTTTTATACCAGTTCATAAGTATTCCCCCCTAACCCTCCCAATTAATAACTGCTTCTGCAGTCCTAAAACATATCTTTTCTACCTGTCTAAAAAAGTGATGTTGCTTAATAAATACTGAAGCTTAAGGTAATTTACTTCAGTACATTTTTAGACTATTACTGCCAGCAAGTGGCAATACTGTGTACTGCTAGCATACTTTAACATAGCTGGTAATGGAATTTGGAGAATGTTCACATAATAAAATAGAAAGGGCAGAAAATTGACTCATATTCAGTTTGTAAGGTATTACAGATGTGTGATGATTTAAGCTTTTTTCCTCAGTCTGCTGTTTCCTATACTGTACTCATGCAGTAATTTTTCCTTTTTAAGTATTTACTACATTCTATTTAACCATTTAGTTTTAGATTACTCTCATTTTTTTGCAAACTTGAAGCAATTGAGGAAAAGAGAAACACTTTATGTACAACTTTCTGTGCTTGAAGAATTGTAGAGTCAGTGGCAGGTATGTACATGAGTAAATTTCTACAAACAAGGTTTGATGCACCAGCTGAAAGGTAGGTATAAGTGACATCTATATTATTGGAGAAAGATCAGTCAGGCACAAGCATCTAATATGTTAAGATCCTGAACACTCAAACACCAACTGAAATCCATCACTTATATATGACTAGTGTTCTACACCTCCCTCCATTCTAAACACAAGTGCCTACCTGGTAGCAAAATCCTGTAGGACTACAAACAATTTAAATCTGCCAAACATAACTTTAGCATCTTCCCTCTCCTGTCACTTGTCTCAAAGCCCAATGCCTACAGTTCCTATGTCTACAACTGTCTGTTGAAATAGACAGAAAAGATGGTGAATGAATAGGGCTGAGAGAGCTGGCAATGGACTGAAGCACTGGCAGGATTCTTACATAAGAGCATTCTTTTTTGTGCACCCAGTCTGGTGAACACAGTCTAAAGTGACAGTATTTTCAGTCAAGGGAAGAGCAGGATTCCTCCTCTGTCAGTAGATCAACAGCAAAATAACACCATTATGGTTGACGCAGTTTCAGCTCTTCCTCTTCCAGAAGAGCTATGCTTCATGCAATTCATTTCACAAAGAAATACTACATAAGAATAACAATGAGAAAAAGTATCTCATTGGCATTAGTTTATTACTTTTTTAATAAAGTTTGAATACCATCCATCATGGTATCTGCAAATCTCTTCCACTAAGCAGAAGCATGGTTAAAAAAAAAAAAAAAAAAAAAAAAAGAAATGAAAGCCTTGGTTCAAATCCCATTACCTTAGGGTCTTCATATTCTCCATTATATCTGGTACCATTCCAAATCAAGGTGCTCTTTAATCTAGACTCAAAAACTGCTTACCTTCTAGCAACAAATCAGAACCTCATTGCCCCAGTCTCACCCAGGAAACATACACTGGTTAACAGTTGAGCACGGCCATGCTCCAAATCAGAAACTCACACAGGAAGAAACAGGAAACTGATGTCAAGTAGAGGTCTCATCTAAGAACCTTATTTGACCATGGTTATAGAAACTGTGGGTTAATAAACTCACTGCACCAAATAGCTAAGCCTCAAAATAAGGCTTAGCCAAGCTTTTACAATTTAACTCTCCCTACCCACTGTGTAAGCTGGAAAGAGGCACATCACTTCCAGCAGATGGCAGTACATTCATATCTTCGTGAATCTTAATATAAGGACTTTTTTTTAAAACATGTTTGAAAACAATTAAAAAGTTACTGATATTGTATCTTGCAAATGTTGCAAAGAATGGAAGTGGACTGAATAATACTGAAGAGCAATCAATGAATGTTTTGGAAATAAGTTCTCCTGCAAAGTTCAGTCTTTCAGTACGCACCAGAGAATCAGCACAAAAGAGTTAAGGCTTCAGAAGTATCAACACTCCTGGCTTCTGGGAGAACGCTGAGCTGAAAGTTATTGCAGTATAGTGGGACGTAAGAGATGCAAAAAGAGAATCACAGAATGGTTGAGATTGCGTTAATTAATGAGCTTCTTGTGTATTTTCAGAAGCAGATGAACAAAAATTAGTGTTCCCAGTCACTGCTGATTGTCAAGGTATCTATCCCACCCTTTTTTCAAAACAATAGAAGCTTGTGGTGGTCCTAAGTTTCATCGCAAGATCTTTTCTATCTGTACCTTGACAGTGCCAACATCAGTCAGTAAGGAAAAAGTACAGTTCATAGTAACCAATTCTGGTCTTCCTACTACAGGCTACCAAAATAGCCTCTGGAAATCTTCTCAGTGTACTTCACCTGGCTATTCTCCAGAGGCACAGGCATTTTTTGTTCAGCCCTGCAAAATGGGAGTGTTTCATTTGCTAACCCCCACTACTGTAGTTGGATATTGGTTAGTTGTATAGGTTTCAGAAAGAAATACTGAAACTGGGATTTTATTGCAAGTTAACAGACATTTTCTAAAGAGCCTGCAGATGACAGCAAGGATTCCATTTACCACTAAGATCTTAATTTCTCTGAGACCTTCCAGATAACGTCTTCAGACCTGCAGACATTCTTATAATGGCCCATGACACAGTAAAAGGAACTGCTGACACCAGCTATTTTTTCTTTTTACTACAGACACAGCAATACATCTGATTTCAATTGGAGTCTCCTTGTCAAGTATCTATGGACCTGAAAGTAATGACTTGCTCAGGGATGATCTGAAATAAAATCAAAAAGCACAAAGATAGCCTTCTGCCTCAAAAGGCCAGTAGTAGGAGACAACCATGGAGAGGCTGCAGACAGCAGCATAAAGACATGATACAGTGGCAAATGCTCTAAGAACCTCTTCATGCTTGCTCTCCCTCTGTCAGACAGAGATAAATAAGCTCAGGAACACGATTGCTCAAACCTCTGTGACCACAAAAGCCATGACAGGAATGTGCTGGAAGAAAAAAGGATAAAGGAGGAATGGAGGGAATGTTTGACCACCGCATGTTGATATAAGTGGTTACAAAGAACCCGTGCTCAGAATACTCCCATGTTTCACATAATACATTATTGAAATTTTGGCTACAGGTTCCAAAAGATGTGGGGGTGGGGATAACTCCTCCTTCCCTCCAAAGTTTACTTTATTTTAAGGACAAAAAAAAAACTGTTTGCCAAAAGGTAATGACTAAAATAATTAGTATTACTTTTGAGTTACATTCATAACATTCAGGTTGTATTCAGTTTATCTAAATTAGTCTTACATCGCTGCCAGCAGATATAAGGCTGAGATTATAGGCATTATTTCCACACTTTCTCATGCTGTATTGGCACTATCATATCTTCTGTGGAGCTGCTTTGAAAGTATAATCTGGCTAAACCAACTTGAAAAAAATTGATGAACAACACCTAACAGCTACTGTTGTTCCTACTGTTATTTAGAACAGTGGTCAAACAAGCACTAATGCTGGAACAGGAAGCAGTAAAAACAGATGACATGGAAAACATGCAGCACCTTGTAATACTCAATTAGACAGGCTTACATGGAACAGAATCATTCCCATTTAAAATCTGACAAATCAGAGAAAAGTTTTCTCAAAAGTCATTTTCTCCTTTACCTGTCAACAGCAAACTCTAATACTCACAAGCAGCACTGGGATTAGAAAAGACACATAACAAAAAGACTGGTTCTACACACGCAAGTACCAACAATGATGAAGAATGACAGCTAAACATCATTCTTCCAAGCCCTCAGAAAAGATTTAAATTTGATACTGATACCATGCTGTGGATAGCCAAGCTGCCAATGGAATGTTAAATACATCTCACAAAAAGAAGTATTAAAAACTTGGAAGAATTACAAAAACTATTTGCTAGAGTACTTAGGGGTTATTTGCTTTTCTGATACTCCTGATAGGGAAAGCAAGTTTGTCCTTTTCAGACTTGGAAGAATCCCTCACTGAAATTAACATTGGCTAATTGGTTTCAAAAAATGGAGAAAGACCTGGAAAACTACAGGCCACTGAACTTCACATCTGTGACTGGGAAGATGATGGAGCTGATCCTCCTAAAGCTATATTAAGGATGTCATACACAGGTGAAAAACTGATTGCTTAATAGAACAACATTTAATAAGCTGACTACCATCCATGCCAAATTTATTAAAAACTAAGCTAATTAGCAGATCGTGGAACACAGAATTACACATAGATTAGACTACCCCATCATTGTGCAAACAGACATTGTTATGCATTTCAGTTTATTATCTCCTTCTTTATAAAGAAAGGATTATCCCAACACTGGATCACAGCTAATCTTATGAGTATTCAAACATGGTTAACCCAGATTTTTGTATTTCAGAACCTGAAAAGAATGTATAAAACCTTTGGGCTGGGCAACATCTTCATCTTGTCATTACACTTGTTTCTAAAATTTGAAAGGTTGTATCATCATGAAATATCAGGGACCAGACTTTGATACATTACCAGAGAGAATGTGCTACACAGAACATTATTTTCCCATAGTATTCACTTCTTTCGCAAGCCACTGGGCTCTTTCACACACAAAAAAAAGAATGGAAGGTTCAATTATTTCATTAATAATTAATAGCTATGTATTTACAACAGGAAATGTATAATTTCTGTAGAAAACTGATATACCTGGTTTTCATATGAAGGATTAGGAGCTATACAGTTGATTTGTGGAGAAAAAACTCCTAGGGGAAAAAAAAGTACAGCAAGTAATTAAAGGTGATTTTCTGTCCTATTGTTCCACACATTTCTACATGTATCAAATTATTTGATGCTGAATAAATATAAGTGGTTTATCTCCCTGACTAAGTCTTGAAACTACAACACTGAAAAAATCAGAAATAAAACAATTTGACCAAAATTATTTGTACTTCTTAAAAAAATAAACAGAAAGAAAACACTTGGGGAAAAAAAAAAAGAAACTTTCAAGTTTGGACCTTAGGCTATAAAACTACAATACATTGAGAAGTACCCAAAATTAATGTCTTTGGCAGGCATGCCTAACCCACAGGCTGCATGTGGCTCAGTTTATCTCATCCTGCAGCTTTCAATTTATGTTTGCAACTTCATTTTCAGTCAACATATATACATTACCTGAGAATTTTCAAACGGAATGTATAGAGTCGCAATCAGACACGCAACTCAAAAAAAAAAAAAAAACCACCAAAATCAATTTTGTTTATTCAATAATACAAAAGCTGGATCCTCTTGTAGTAACTTTGGCAACCTCACCACCTATGGATGGACACATCATATAGTACCTCCAAGCTGCCAGGAAAGCTTCTCCACATCTCCAGTGTAGTCTGTGCTACCCAGCAATTGCAGATCTGGATGATGGTAAAGTATTAAGGGCAATTGATGTGGCTTTTTCCTAATCACTATAGATGACATTCCATAGTAATGATCAGGTGCATTACTTTGTTTTGCTTTATTCTGCCTCATTTCACTTAATATTTCATTGCTTTAAATGCAAGTAAAGATAAATACTTCTTCAACTTGGTGCCTGTGTCCTTCATGCTGACCTAGTCCGTTGGCAAAACAGAGACATCCTCACTCCCACAAACTGAAGAATGAGTCAAATAAGCACATCTTAAATGATCTTTACTGAATGATGCCAAGTTCTTCATAACTATGAAAGGTTCTGCTTCAGGAGATGACAGCAATAGGAAAAATTTCCTCAAATTTCAACGGATTGCAGATAAAAAGTATACTAATTGAGTGAGCTGATTTTAAAAAACGATGCTTTTGAATACATTCAGGTCTTTAAATTGGCAAAAAGATAAACAAGAAGAAACCTAAAGAAAACTAAGAACAATTTGTGTCACTTGGAGCTGTTAGACTGTTAGAATAAAACAGAAGGAAATTAAATGAAGTCTGCAAAGGAGCCAAGGAGGTTACAATAAAATTATTGTTTATTATTAACTACTATCCTCTCCTTCATGCAATCTCTTTCAAGGGAATTAAGGAATATTTTAAAATTTTAAATGAAAGCACACGTATTTATATTTAAAATAATAATGGAGTTAAGTATCTGAAGAGAACAGATATATTTAACAATCTTAAAGATTTATTCAATAATAATATATGCTACTGTAGTTACATATGACTACATGTCTATTACACGGATGTATATTTCATCTATATCTTTCAGTTCAAGTACTGTGTATCAGAATGAAAATAACATTTCATATAGTCCTTAAGCAAGACATCCTCACTTAGAAAAAACAGAAATTAAGTGCAAAACAATTTTTAAAACACTGGAAGTGTGCCCATTTTTTCCTCTAAACTACTAACTAAAAACACAGATTTCATGAGAGCACTTGCAGTTCATGAAAGTGGATAGAGGTGTTGGTTGATACTCAAACATGAGCCAGCAGTGTGCCCAGGCAGCCAAGAAAGCAAATGGCATCCTAGAAGCCAGAAAGAGCAGGGAGGGCATCATCTCTCAGTACTGAGCTCTGGTGAGGCCACACTTTGAATACTGTGTTAGTTTTGGACCCCTCTCAAAAAGGACTTTGAGGCCTTAGAGCATGTCCAGAGAAGGACAGCAAAGCTGTGAAGGGTCTGGAGCATAAGTCCACAAGGAATGGTTGAGGGAATTGGAATTATTCAGTCAGAAGGAGGCTCCTTACCACCCTACAATGTCCTGGAATGAGTTTGTGGTGCACTGGGGGGCAGACTCTTCCAACAGTGATTGAACAATTGGGAAAAGCCTCAAGTTGTGCCAGGAGAAGTTCAGGTTCGATAATGAGAAGAATTTCTTCTCAGATAGAGTGGTAAGGTACTGGAACACACTGTCAGGGAGGCAGTGGAGTCACCATCCCTGGAGGTGCTTAAGCAAAGAGCAGATGCAGTACCTAGGGACATGGTTTAGTAGACAGTATTAGTGGTAGGTGAATGGTTAGAGTACATGATCCTAGAGGTGTTCCAATCCTAATGATGCTATGATTCTAATATTTAATTGTTGGTGTTATGAACTCTGGCAACATCCACAGAAATGGTTTGCTGAGAAGAACAACTAAGAAAAAAGACTGAGAAAAGAATCTGTCTTACCTCCTATTTCAGTGGTTAAAGTCATGCTGGTGTTAACGAGAGATAGCCTTAAAAAAAAAAAAAAAAAGTCAAACCACTGCATAAAATACTCTTCACTCATATAAACTCGAGGACGCTAATCCTGTCAGCTGCCTTTGTTTGGGTGCCGACAGCCTCCGGCCAGCATGAAAGCCAGTCTGAAAGAGCTGCACAGCGTCCCTCAAAGAAACCCAGAAACGTCCGTCCCGCCGCCCCTTCTCAATGCAAGCCTCACGCAGGGCACAGCACTGACGGTACACCTGACAACAGCCGCACTCAAGGTAAACGCAAACAGGACAGTTTGGAACAGCAATTTGGAACAGGGCAGTTCCAATTGCAATACCTTAAAGAATACGAAAGAAAGCACCGTGAAAACGCCATTAAAAGCAGCAGAGAAGTAACAGCAGCGATAGTATTTGCTGGGGTTTTTTTTGTTTCCTTTTGAGCAGGATTCTCACACCTCCACTGACTCACATGTTACCTATGTAGGTAAGACCGAAGGGTGCAACTGTAGGGCGAGGAACCACCTAGTCCCAGTGTAAAAAAGCGGCCCAAGAAGAGGACGGAAAAACTCCCCGGCACCACACAGCCACCAAATAAAGTTCAAGTCATGCCGCTTCTGCGCTGGGCTGCCGGGTGCCCGCTGCCTTGACCCGGACCTGCGGCCTCGCCTCAGCGCGGCACGGAGCGCACCGCTCGCGCGTTACCACCTCAAGCTGCTGAGCTCCTTCTCCTCCGCATCGCTTCTCGCCGCGGAGCCCCACGCGCCGCTCTCATCGCAGACAACAAAACCACACCGATCCGACATTACGCTACCGTCCCACTTCCCCTCCTCTCCTTTCGTCTCCTCTACTGCCCCCGCCCCTCAATCCTCACTGGTCCTGCCCCTCCCCTGCTCCTCACTTGTCCTGCCCCTTCTCTCCTTCCCGCTCGCGTCCTTCTCCCTTTCCCGTGCTTTCCCGCCAAAGCCCCGCCGTGATCCGTTCCTCCACAGCGGCGGTGGCCATTTTGTGTGCGCTGAGGAGGAGAAATGAGCGGGAACGTTAAGACAGAAGCCGTTAGTCCGGTTGAAGAGGCGCAGGAGGAGCGGCTCGCCCTTCGTAAAGCGCTTTTGCTCCCCATGGTCTTTCAGTAAGACTAGCATTGGCCTACCTGCCGTGGCGGGCATCGGGCTTCTGCCACATGCACTCTTCTCTAGCGCCCTCAGCTGTGTGTCCGCCCAAAATTCTTTGCCCTCATTTCTCTGCTTCTGTGGCTGCCTATAAGGAGCTAACTGAACCTTCTTTCCTGAGCATGATGATTTGCTTATGGCATCAAGACTAGGAGTGTGTTTGAAACACAAAATAATATTACCAGTCTTGAGACAGAAGAAGCTTGCAAACAATGAGTCCTCGCAGACAAGTTGAGCAGAGGCTTGCAAATTCCTCTCTGTACGATGGCTGTAAACTCACCAAATAAGGCTTCACTTACAAAGGTCAACTGACAACTTGAGCATGTGAACTCTGGACTTACTGCATGGGGTTAATAGGCTAATTAATATTAAGTTCTCCACCTTGGGCAGCATATAGTTAGAGCTAATTATACATATGATGTGTAATACAGAGGGTAGCTCACATACATGGGGGAACATGTATTAGGTGGACTGGAAAGACTGTAATCTCCAGGCACTTTAGTCAGAGGAAAGGAGAAGGGACAATATGGCTGGGAAATACCTCTGGTAGGTTGAAAGACCCAGTGGGGAAGTGCCCCTAGTAGATTATTTATTTGAACAAAGAAAGCTAAAGACCCTCCTATGTCTCTTTTTGCTATAAAAATAACTGGGCGAGCCTTCTTGAGAAAAAAAAAATTCCTGACAGTCTCAATGTTGAATATATTTACACAGAATTTGTAGGTGCACTATCATACGTAGCCCTCTGACCACCTTTAGTAGCATCAGAAGAATATCTCAACACTGCCTCAGGATTGCCTCTCAGTGTGGTGTTTTCATACAACACTATTAATTGTTGAAAGAGGGAAACTGAGAGAAACTGGAGACACAATTAGATACTCTCATGATTGAAAACCAGAACCTAAAAAGAGGGATGGCTGGCAGGGAGAGGGAAGTGATTGTCTTCTACTCTGATTCGTGAGGCTCTACCTGGAGAACTGTTCCAAGTCTTGAGCCTCCAGCACAGGAAGGATGTGAAGCTGTTGGAGCAGGGCTTCTATGAAGAGAGGTTGAGGGAGTTGGGATTGCTCAGCTTGGAGAAGAAAAGGCTCTTTGGCGACCACATCGCAGCCTCCCAGTATTGAAGGGAGCTTACAAGCATGAGGACTGACGTTTTACATGGTCTAATAGTGATAGGAAATGGGGGAACAGTTTTAAACTATAAGACGGGAGATTTAGGTTAGATGTTTGGAGGAAACTTTTCTCTCAGAGGGCGCTGGAACAGCTTGCCCAGAGAAATTGTGGGTCCCCCCCCCCCAGAAGTTTTCAAGGCCATGTTGGATGGAGCCCACATCAGCTTGATGTGATGGCTGACAACCCTGCCCATGGCCTAATCCCTTAACCTTATGGCAACCCAAGCCATTCTATGAATCTGTGAGTCTAAAAACAGAACTTAGGGAACTTAAAATGCTGTTAGTGTCAGCTGAAAGAAGGAAAAATTAAATATTTTACTAAGCCAGACTGCATTCTCAGTCTTGGCTAAACAGTTCCACAGATTAACGCATTCTGCCAACTCCAATACACAATGGGAACATCTGGTGATAACATCCATGAAACAGTGGAAAATTTGGATTTTGATCTTACCCCGTGACTCATACATGTATAACTGTTTATCAAAATTGAACCTATTATTTCTATACCAAGAGGACCAAGAAGAATTTTTACAAATTTTCTTGAACATGAGGCCTTGTCTCTGTAAAGTCAGATTTACAAGGATTGGTCTGGTCATAAAGGAATGCCTCACAGCAAAAATCACTCTGTGGCTCCTGGGAAGATTGCACTGACCTAATGTTTTAGGATTTGCCCTGTAGTGTGTCAGAACGGGGAAACTCTTGATTCAGTCTGGAGTTTTGCTGTTCATGGGGGAGAGAATGAGCCTAATGCTATAGATGTTAGATATGTCTGTGCCCCTGCTCCATCAAAAATTGCTGTTGTGATTCAGAGCCCCTTGCCAGTGGCCACGTTTACAGATATCTACAGGGACTTGGGAAAAGGAAACATTATCACTCGTTTTCCCTGCATAACTCAACTGTCTGGTGAAAAAGCTGAACAGACGGTGGTGGCTTATGTTTGATTATAAGCAATCTAATGCCCTAAGTGTGCAAAATACTGCAGAATTAAAAACTCAAATTTGGGAAACATCTCACACATGGATGACATCCCTTAATGAATCACAGAATCACAGAATCACAGAATTGTAGGGGTTGGAAGGGACCTCCAGAGATCATCGAGTCCAACCCCTCTGCCAAAACAGGTTCCCTACAGCAGGTCGCACAGGCAGGCATCCAGGCAGGTCTTGAACATCTCCAGAGAAGGAGACTCCACCACCTCCCTGGGCAGCCTGTTCCAGTGAATGAAAAGGATGTGCTTTTTGTGTTTCCACTTTGGGAACACCACACAGCCAAACTTGCCTTTACTTTGAAAGGAATACTGTACATTTTCAACAGGCTGCCTAGAGGTATACAAATTTCTATACCATTTCCCACTGATGCCTTGGTGAAGATTTTAGCAGAAACCTGTAGCCACCACAAGTTACCATCTATGCATGCATCAATGATATACTGATAGAAGGAAACAATTCAGCAGAAGTCAAACATATTATGGATGGTGTATAAGAAAAATTAATAACCTCAAGACTAGAAATTGCTTCAGATACCCCAGAAGGAACAGAACATGCACAGAAACCACCTATCAAAAATGAATTCCAACAGCTGATTGGAGCTCTAGGTTATTGATGTACACACATAACTAATTTTTCTGATACTGCTCACCTCTTAAATAATTCACATAAGAAAGGAAAATGGTGTGAATGGAATGAATAGCATGAGAATGTGTTAGAATTATATTGTGGTTTCACCTGGCAGGTGGCTAAGCACCATGTAGTTGTTTGCTCACTCTTCCCCCTTCACACTGGTGTAGAAAAAAAAAAAAAACAGGCACAAAGTACACCAAGTAGAACTTATGAGTTGAGATAAAACTAAGACAGAGAAAAGGAGAAGTATAGTAATTATGACAAATACATATGTGTGAATGTATATAACAAGTAATGCACAAGCAATTGCTCACCACCTATCGAATGATGCCCAGTTAGCCCCTAAGAAGTGGAAAAGGGAGAGAAAGAATTCCAATTCCTTTCAAAAGTCCTTCTACATTTTGTCGTATGGTATGGAATATCCCTTTGGCCAGATTAAGTCAGCTGTCCTGATTCTGCCCCTCCCAGCTTCTTGCCCCTCCTCTCTTCCCCCAGCCCTTTGCTGATAGGAGCTGAGAAACTGAAACTGCCTTGGCTTTGTACAACTCTGCTTAGCAACAGAGCAACAGGCTCTTCACAACTCTTCTCAGCAACAACTAGAAACATTGGTGTATTTATCCACGTTGTCTTTCTTGTAAAACCAAAACACAGTATCATACCAGCTGTTGAGGAGAAAAAAAAACTCTGTCCCAGCTGAAGCTAACAAATTATTAATAACAGAACTGAGGCCATTCCAACAGCCAGGCCAGGTACAGCAGTCTGACCCTATTTATGTAGACTGGGATCTCAGGGAAATGTGGCTTCCAATGTAGTGACTGGCTAAGAGGAGTCTGAGGAACAAAAAGGCTGCTGTAGTTTGGCTCCTAATCTTTCAGTGGCTCTGAAACAAGATATTTAGATCTGGAACATGGTTCGCTGTCCCTACTACGGCCAGTGAAACAGTAGAAAAATGAGATGACAGAGTGTGATCATTTGGGGATCTTCCTGTCTCATGGATTTAGTTCACAAGGGTATACTGCTACCAGCAGGCATTGTTCAGATAGGTCCATGTGTGACTTCATGCAAACACAACTTGGATCTTGAATTGAGTGACTGTAGTCATGAGTTGGACAACATGTTTTTTTTACATTAGGTATTAAAAACACTGGTGCCTGGTTACTTCTTCTGTAAACCTTGTGAGGTCAGCATGAAAAGCAGCTGAACAAGGAAGCCTTGTGGCACAGGATGGTTCTGTTTGAGCTAAGGCATGGGTGTCCAACCCTTTGGTTTGCCAGGGTAGCACAGAATACATACAAATTGAATTATGTAGGTCACTCCAAAAGTAATGCCTTCTATTTATTTCCACGGAAACTTGAATAGATACAAAGAACACTGTTCGATAGATCAAATTCTCAACTACAGAACGTTCTTTTTCTACAGTCACCACCATTAATGATTCATGTTCATCAGCAATGAACAAGAATATGCATGTCATGCTCATAAAAATCAGAACCAGCGGAAGTTGCTGTTGCCACTGCCAAAACGCAACCACTCACTGCCTCGGTGTGCTCACAACTACTGTTTGGTTCAGCAAGCATTAGTGAATATCACAAGGTGCCAATTTTTCTGCATGGAGGAATTCAATTCTATACCACTGCTTCATGCGCACTTCCATGTCAGATATCGTTTTGTCAGACTGCTCCTCTGCTGCCAGCTGTCACACAACAACATGTAACGGAATATTGGCAGGAAGGTTCAACCTCTGCTGCCGTACCACCAACATCATGAAACAGGAGGCATTACTTCTGAAGCAGGCATTTTGAAATATATGATGTTGTCATTGTGTTATAAGCAACAGAGCTTATTTTAATTTTTAATATCTTTT